CCGTAACGGTAAGCGTAATCATCTATGAACGCATCGCGGACATAAGTGAGGTGGACCAGGAGGTTTTTATACGCCCAAACCATTCAAAATATTAATCTAATCCGTTTCAAAACCAAACCTTGAGTTCATGCCCTTTCTTTTCTAATCATAGAAGGTATTAAACCTCACCCTGAACATGAAACAATGGCCACGAACAGCTGCAATTGTACGATCGACTCCGCGCAGCTGCTTCTTTCACACGTGTTTGCAAAGACCCACGTGCACAAACATTCAGAACAACCTCCCCAACCAGTCTCCTCCACCACACCCAGCACCAGGGAGGACGACGGTGACGGCAGAGGCGTCCAATCCGACCCTTCTCTGTCCGGCCCGCATCGGCGCTCTATGCAAATGGGTGGCGTCCAAGCACCTCCCTTCTGGGCCGCCACCAGAATCGATAGGGGCGACGTTTGTGGAGCTACCATCGATCTCAGGGAGCTAAGGTATATGTGATATAATTCCTTTTATAAATATACGTGGGGCCATTTAAAGTTGGGACCAGGTCCGAAGGCCGTAATGTGGGAATATTCAGCCAGGGCTAGCACAGTGGACAAAGACTATGATTTCATTTTCAGTTGCAATCAGGACGGCAGTGGGTAGATAGTTATGGGTCGGTTTGGTGGGTCTGCCTTATGTCGTTTGATAAAGGTATTAGGCATGCCCTGAAGCGAGGCGTTATGCGCTTTAAGTTTCGCCCCGCAGTTAAGAAATAGAGGAATGTTTCTGAAGCCATACAGATCTGATTAAAAAAGCGTCTTAGTATTTGGAATAGCCATAGCTATTCAAAGTCGTGAGCAGATTCGAAGGCTCGAAAAGCAAAGGCGCTGGATACCATGGCACGCTTCGATACGCAATCTATTCCGCCATCTATGTAAGTGGCCCGTGTTTTACCGGTTGCCGGAGCCTCTGGTCTTTAGCATTCTGTCACTATAGCCAATTCGCCTGTGCTGCACCAACGGCACTGTTCCCTTTAACTACTTCACTAGAGGATACAGTACTGTCCTTTCTGTCATACGAAAGTCACAGTTCCTTTCTAACTTTTGCTAGTGCTTTCCTAGCTCGTCATATGCAACATTATATAAGGCTCCTTTCGTATCTGGTTTACTGGTGGGTTCTGTGCCCTTCATTTATGTCATACTATGGGCCATCACGTCCTGATGGCGTGGTGACCTCAACAAGCCGATGAGCATGAAATTATTGACGGCGTCCACAGCGCAGGCAAAGGTCAGCCAAACGACCGTGACCTATCCGTAAAAATGTCACGTTAGTGACCTGCAGGAGCACCCAGATGGGAAAATACCATTCTTATTATGGGTAAATGGCAACAAGCTTGGCCTGACGGTGAATGTAAGAGTTCCAAGCTTCTTACTGCTATCCAGTTTGGTGTTGTTTTAGTTATAAGAAAAGGCGGGACATATGTAACTCACTTCTAGAGTTCTGCACGGCTGCAATTTTCCACAGCCTAGCCGCCCCGCAGCCGTGGCTCCACAGCCACGGCCGCCCACAGCCGTGGCAAACTGTGGGCAGCCAGCCGTCAGCCGGCCGTGGATACTTTCAATGAAATGCAACCAAATAGTATATAATAAGTTGTTTTTAGTTGAAACATATAGCCAAAAGCACATTGCAATGGAATGGGCTATAGATTCTCAAGCTCATGAAGCATCATAGGTTAAGTGGTTGTGTATCTGGCTTTAGGCGGAAGGCCTGAAGCCTGATGCGCATCGCATGCCTACACAAGCCCCTGCAAAGGGTTAAGAAAGATGGGTAGGTAGGTACCTACATCAACAGAAAACATAAACAACGAACCAGAATAGAAGCACTAGCAGTGTAGACATCTAATGCCAAATCCTGAAGCATGGTTGTGGGACAGAACAACAGACCCTGATGCTTTTCATTATCAATGTTAGGTATGGAAAATGAAACTGAAGTTGATGGACTGTCAAAAAGTGATTGTCTAGTCAACACTCTTGCTTCTTTCTTACCTTGCATATTTTCTGGGGTGTGATATGCCAGGCTTGAAGCAGCCTTCTGAGCAAGTCTCAAACTATTTTGATATGCAAGGCATCAAAACACTAGTGAGCATCCAAGAAAGAAAAACATTCATCTATTTTGATTTTTCCAAATAATGATCTTCGCTCAAATCCCAAAGGACGTGCGAGCCACAATTGCCTATTTCAATCAAAAATTTCACTTGAGTTTTTAACGACGTCAATAGCAAAGAAGCGGCAATTAATTGTTTTGTGTCACTATAAACAGCCATAAAAATTATAATCAATAAAAAATAATGTTAAACAGTAGAAAACTTGCTCTCAAACAAAGATAAATTATCAAATTTTTACGTTTTCAGAAAAAGACGTCATTTTATTAGTAAAGTCAACAGCTCGCGTAAGAAATATTGTGCTCAAGGTTTTCACCGTCATGTGAATTACGTGTTCAGGGTTTTCACCATCATGTGAATTGACCGTAAGTAAAGTTCATGCTCACTTATAATCTAATTCCATTGGCTTCGTTGATCAGCATTTTCTGTTAGCGGTCACTCACACACCAGTTAGAACATAAAGCGCCAGTTTTATATTATGTAATTGGACTTGCCGAAAATCCAGAAATACATCTAAGAGTTATTTTAGATAATATTTAATGAAGCCCTTACCTGCCTTTACCTAGACGTGATTTATTTTCTATTACCTGAAAGAATTATTGAACGCTCGTCTTCAGTAGCTGTAAGGTGCTCTCCTAATGACCAGGTGAGATTGATTTGAGAGGGATGTGACAATGCAACATATTGCATTTTCTGAAACTGTCAAGCTCTTGATGATGAAGGAACAATCGGTACCTATAATTAGTATTCTGTACCAGAGTGCAAACTCCCCTACAGCAAATGGTAAAACCATTACAGGTTTTCAAAGGCTTCACCACTTTCAATGTTGCTGGGCATCCTTTGCATGATTTTTACAGGCTAGACTGCTTATCAGAATGTAAGATTCAGGATTTAAAATTTTATATTTGAGTACTTAAGATTGAGCTTGAAATCTCACAGCCGTGGCCACAGCCGTAGCCGTGTTCTTGGAGATATTTGCAGCCGCCCCGGCCCACAGCCGTGGGGCTGCAGCCAGCCGCGGCTGCAGCCGGCCGGTGCAGACCTCTACTCACTTCCCTCGGCTGGCGCCTCCAGGGACACATCAATGCACAGGCGGAAGTCTAGGTCACTTTGGCAGAACAAACTCTTGTTTTTCGTGCGCATTACACATTGCACAATTTCATGAGCGTCCTGTTGAAAATGTGTACCGTTTTAGGGAAGGGACGAGCAGTTCTTTTGCTCCCTTGAATTCGCAATTACTGAAGGGTCACTGCTGAGGGCACCGTGAGGGGCGCCGTGGGCGGGGGCGCCGCGGAGACCACTGCACCGGGGGCGTCGATCGCTGAGTCGAGTGGCGCCCTGGGACCACTCGTGACCACAATCTCAAGCGCCGCAGGGCTAATGCTATCTGCGGCCACCGCATTCCACTGGCCATCCGGAGATGGCGTCAGGTTAACGGAAGTGGTGAGACGTCCTGGAACAAAGCCAGTCGGCAAAGAATTGGCAGGATCGGATAATAGATAGGCAGGGCTGTCGGCAGACAGCCTGCATACTGATTAAGGCATTCAAGTTTTATTTACGTTCCGATGAAAAGCATTACGCTATTTGGTGTACATTACAGAGTGGGTAAACGGGCGTTTACGGTAAACGACGTCGCCTCAGTGACCTCAGCAGTTCGTGTCCACCTCGTTGGTTTCCGTCTGGACCATGTCATACATCATTCAGGCCAGGTCGATAGCGGACTGGCGGAGGGGTCACCTCGCGGCAGCCTGCAGCATGAGTGGGCGGTAAACAGACACACACACGAGCGTGCACCAACAGTATCCTCCGCTCCCCTCCTGGGTGCACCTCCGACTTATTAAAGGTCACCGTCCCGTCCTTGTGAGCCATGCGTGTCGAGAGGGCGGTTCTGAGGAGCTGCCCACAGCTCGTTTGGCTCACAGCGGGCGTCTGGACCGGTCATAAAACGCCGGCCTGTCGTCGACACTGAGCTTTGACGCACTGCGGACTAAATGACCTCCGGGCAGCACGCCTGAACGTCGGAAAGAAGCGACGGTGCCGAATGAGGTACCTACACCAAGGATAAGAAGCACATGACTGTGCTTCTTCACTTGAAGTGCGAAACGAGAGCAATCAACATATCACCGGAAAATCCAGAAATAACTGTTATGAAAGAAGGAAGACATTTAACAATAAAACTCGCACGTGGAAACAGACTGCAGAGTTACCTCAGCGAATTTCTAGCCAAAGTCATCTAGCGGTGAGAATCGCAACTTGGGTAGTTCAATCAATCCAAGTTTTATACATTCATCACATTTCATTTCCATTCTTTTATTTAGTTATGTATTATGCAGAAGTGGAACATCCTAGCATGGAACTTAATCATCTCTTCCATCCGTCCCAGGGTGGGATCTCCAGTAGGTACCAACGATTCCCACCAAATTCTTTATGTTGAAGCTCTAGACAGATCTTGACCCAACTCGTGGTTTTAAATCCCAGCTTTTGATTTAGGGAAAAAACATCTATATATCGCGTTTTTATGTAAGCAATGAGGATTTCAACTGTTTGGCAACTTGGAACAACTCAACCTGAAATGAGTTAGTTGTGTTTTGGGTTCTTTATTTGCGCCCTTCGTATTTGGTAAAGGCATTTACAAATTTATTTTAGGTCTAAGAATTTAAGGGCCCACTTTCCTTCGCTATGCTTGATGCTTCCAAAAGAGATTGGGCATGGATTCATAAAACAACGTTGGTGAAAACGGATGTTCCGGAATAGCGGTGCATATATAAATTGTGTGTTGTCATAACAACCTCCATCTTCCTTTGCAAATCTCCCGGCACCTTTCAGTTTTACCTGTTGACATTTATTGCGCGTTTGTCACATTTGTGATCGTCAAAGGAATTTTGAGTAGACTGTGCTTTCTTTTTCGCTTTAGGATATGAAACTGGTGCTTATGGCGGTTGAACTTTGCAGTTTAATGCATTTAAATAGCTTTATTACTAAATGTGCCATTAATGGGGAAAAATACAGCAACGATGTGCGTTTGAATGACGCAGTGGTGGAGAAAAGAGTCAGGATGCTAACGTCCACAGGGCAGCCAAGATATCATATCTCTGCTGCTATCCTCTGCATAAGTTTTATTAAGAAGTCGGATTATATGTAACATACAGGTAATTTGCTACGACACACGCACACTGCACAGACTGCACAGTTCCCACACCAGATATACGTAGTTCCATTGTAATTTTGTTGTGATTTTTTAAACCATTCGTGCCTTTGCTCGCCTACCTACAAAGCCGCATTATTCTATGTAAATCAAGCCGAGCCAATACACCTCCTTATTCATTTTAATTTTTAATGTGTGCCGTCTGTCAGCTTAAGGCAGCCAGCCTTGTTATTAGGGTGATGCAGGGTGATGCATTACTGTGGGATAAGCTATCGCAGAGGATGATTATGATCATCTATCACATCGATTCAGAAGGTTATCAACAATTTACTTTTCATCTTTGCCTCCATCACCCATTTCATCATCCCTTTACGTAATTCATCAATCCCTAGCCCATTATGCCCCGTGATGAGAGTTTTGATTGGTTCTTGCACCGGTGCATAACCGATTATTTGACCTTAGCAGAGTTATGAGTCGTACAAAACATTAGAAAAGTTTAAAATTGACTATACTTTTCCGAAAAGCTAGGCATTTTTTTCTGCAGGTATGTTTAGGTACTGTTCACTATTTAGTGTCCGGTGTCCGTTCAAAGAGCCATAAAATATCATTTCAGACAGACATTATAACCGTTTAAAGGTAGTGTGCCACCTTTGGAAGATTTCCCATTTTATTTTTCCTAGGATAAGAAGCTTCTGTTTTTACCTAATATCGCAAAAAAAATCAAAAATGGGCCTGGAATAGTGCCTTTTTCGCCTAAAAGTTTATCGGTTTTTAGATATGTATAACAACTGTAGTGGGCTCACCTGCAAACAGGCGTCGGCAACAATTGCGAATGCGGCGCACTTGTGACAATAAGCAAAGGTCATTATAGTGTTACGACCATACGACGTACGGGAATGAGTTATCAGCTGTCTAATCGTAGACAACACCAGTGGCGCGGGAACTTCTTCCAGACTGGGGGGGCTGAACCATAATAGAAATCAACCTAGGGTACCCCCAAATCTAGTTTTCTCACCGGTTTTAGGCCACTTATTTTTCAGACCTTGGCCTTTTCAACAACAAAAAAAAAACGGAAATATTTTCAAAAAGTGAGGTATTCCGTCTCAGCTGAGTGAAGAAACTACCGTTTTGGCAACCTGGAGTAAAGGTTTTAATCTGCCAAATGAGTTGCCGAGCCAGTGAAATAGGTGGATTTTTCACTTACATGCTTTCTTCCTTTGTGACCCACAACCCCTAATTTGGGGAGGACAAGCTGCCCAACGGTTCCTGGCCTCATGAAACGTTGTGGGGCACCGCCCCCACGGCCGCAGAGTTGTGGGGGCAAGCTTCCCCCACTGCCCCCTCCCCCGGTTCCCACGCCTATGTATGAATCTATGATATTATGTTGGTAGATTTCCGATTTCGATTCCTCCAGCTGGGGGGGGGGGGGCTCAAATACATTACGAGCCCCCCCAGCCGAAAAGCTGGAGGGGCTCAGCCCCCCCTAGCCCCCCCGGTTCCCGCGCCACTGGACAACACAATGTCGAGCCTTAACCCGCGCCCTGGTGTGGGTCTGAGCCACCTTCGCCCTGGTGGGGGGGGGCCAAAATGACCCCCCCCGTCTAACTCGAAAACGAAGAGGGCTAGGAAGACGCGGAAAAAAGCAAACGAAAGCCCATAACAAGTACGTTCGAAAGTATTTCGGTCATTTTTTCGCTAAGGTCAATATTGAGGTCGCTAGAGGTCATCATAGGTCAAATTTCAGTGTTTTCGGTGTTGCCGGACATATTCCGCTGTAGCTCGGAAACTAGAAGAGCTAGAGAGCCGCGGAAAAAAGCAATCGATAGCTCTTTTCAAGCTCTTTCGCCAAGGTTCGTCAGATTTGACCTCAGCTCAACGGTTTGGCCTACAGAGGTCATGCAAGGTCAACTTGGCAAATTTCGTTAAAAATGTTTTTAACTATAGCATGCATTCACGAGAAAATAGAGAAACGATTCATGCACCATCGTGCTTGGCTCGTCGAGACGCGTCGAATGATATATAGTTTGACCTCGAAAGGTCATTTTGAAAATTTGACCTCAGGTCAAGGTCATGACCTTACCGAAATAGGTCATGCTGCATATCATTCGATCCGCATTGACGAGACAAACACGATAAACGTCGAACGGAGTCTCTATCTCTATTCAATAACAAGTAAGTGCAGAAAAACCGCTGGTGACCTCTGGTGACCTCGGACGACCTATGGATACCTTATAAAGTTCACCGGTGATATTTTCGGTAGGATGACCATCAGTGACCTGTAATACCATGATCCCGATCATTGTCTTTCAATCTCTTCTCTAGCAAAAGTTATACGCAAAAAAACTCGTGTTTTTCTCAGGTTATTTGTTCGAAATATACAAATCACATTCAGCAGTACTTTATTGACAAAAAACCGCTTTCAATGACAAATAACGCATGTAAATCTTGAATTACAACAAAGGAGACGCAACAAGCGTATCTCTCGAACAATGAGCAACCATGAGCCTTCGAAGACACAGGTTCTAAACACAGATATAAGCACCAGGTTCTAAACCCCGAGCCAATCCCCGAAACCAGCTCACACCACTGTCAGACCAGATCAATCGCTGCAACCAGATCACTCGCTGCAACCAGCTCACACCACTGTCAGACCAGATCACACCACTGTCAGACCAGATCACTCGCTGCAACCAGCTCACACCACTGTCAGACCAGATCACTCGCTGCAACCAGATCACATCACTGTCACACGATGCAGATCACTCGATGCATGAGTTGCACACCTTGTTGCTGTGGTTCGCGCACACATACTGCCCGCATCCCTCGCACCTGCTCGACTTCCCCATAGCACCTTTCCGCCGTTTGAAGCCCTCACCGTGAGACTCCTCCATGCAGATTCTGCACCGGCCCCTCTCCGGTCCAGCTGTACTTGGCCCGGCGCCGGATGTGCTAGAAGCCATCAGGTCTCTTTCTAGCACCGAGCCGATGGCGTGCACGGTGACGCGGTTGAGCGATCCTTGCTCCTGGTAGAGCTTCGCTCGACGCTGCACCTGAGGCAGCATGAGCTCTTCCGCCAGAGCTCGGCAGAACGCTGTCCTGCCCCCATGTTTCACGTCAGCGTGTCGGTGCTGTGGGTGCCGGGTCACGAAAATGTGATACCCGTTCAGGCAGGATGCCGCCACCATAAACGTCAGCACCCTGGTGGGCCACCTTCTGACAACGCCTGCGGAAGAGCCGCTGTTTTCGATGATGGCGTCGATGACGTCGACCCCTCCTTTTGTGCTGTTGTAAAACAGAATCGTCTCAGGCTTCTTAGACCGCTGATCGATGAGCGACTGTTTGTGCATGGTCGATGCCACGAGGACGACTTTGCCACGGCGTGGGCAGTAAGATGTCAGCTGCACGCCGTTTCTGTAGGCGAACATGCAGCTGTCAGCCTCTCTGCCTGCTGTCGCCGCCAGCTCCTTTGGCAACAGCGCCCGGTTTGAGCGAAGCGTCCCCACCGATGACAGGCCGAGGTCACGGAGGTCTTCCACGAGAGGTATCGAGGTAAAGTATCGATCCATCGTCAAGTTTCTGCCACTTTTGACGAGCTCCAGGGCCAGATATTTGACGAGCTCGTCCACTTTGGTGATGACACTGTTGGCAGGGGCACGCTCCGGCTCGACCGGTCTCCCAGGGTAGACCCAGGCCTTCCACAGATAACGGCTGTGGGCATCAGATGCCGTCCTCACCAGTATTCCGTACCGGCCAGGTTTTTGCGGCATATACACACGGAACGGACACCTTCCGCGGTACTTGATGAGCGACTCGTCGATCGTGATGTCATCCGATGGCGTGTAATGACGTCTGAGGTTGTTGTCAAACATGCCGAACACCTCCCTCATTATGCAGAACTTGTCGGCACGCCGCCTGTCGTCACGTGTTGCTGCGTCATCGAAGGAAATATGCGCCAGCAGAGCCAGGTACCGCTGTTTCCCCATGGCGGCACGGAACAGGGGAGGCCCGTGCTTGGCCGAGAACAGATCATCGACTCCGATGTCAAACGTGCCGCGGAGCACGGTCATTCCGATGAAGGCTCGGAGCTCGGTCTCATCCAGAGGCGCCAGAATGTACTTCTTTTTTCGCTGTTCATCGGAACTGCCCTTTTCCGCGAAAATTTGCCTGGCGTCATCCAGTTTCCGGTTGGTGTGTGTCAGGATGATATTCATGATGTCCTGGCTGATGTATAGGCCAAATGCCTCGCCTTCTGTTTTGACATTTTTGGCTGCCGGTCCTTTCAGGCCTGGTGTTTCTCGGGTGATGTTCGCCCGGTCGCGCCTGCGCTGGACGTTTTCAGGCTCGACCGTCCACTCGGCAGCGACCTGCCCTCCTCGCCGAACGATGTATGTTGAAGGTGCCTCCGGCAGGGTTTGAAGATCGGCTTCGGCGAGTGTTTTTTCTGAGACCGTCAGTCGTCTCGTGAGACTCTTCCAGACTCTTCCTCTGGCAGGTGGATCAGTCTCTGGCTCACTATCGGACTGGTCCTCGTTCGGCACGCCGCCGTCCTGCGGCGTCTCACTGGGCACCACCTGGAGTTCGACGAGGCAGTCGTCCTCCGACACATCTGACTCGTACTCACTTTCCTCACTGTCAGATTGCGTCGCCAACAGTCTCGCAATGTCCGCGTCGTTCAACTGTCTTTCACGGTACGCCATGTCGCCGTCACAGCGCTGACGGCAACACGCACACGCACACACTGTCGTCGACAGACTGACGAGTCACTAATTTGTTCTGTCTTGGCGTCTTGACACTTATTTGTTTTGAACCGCTCTTTATTGACCTTTTACACCCTTCCACAAATGACACCCTTTGATGCAGACCGCCCGCCGAACCGAGCGCCAGTGATCGAGGGGGAGATAAGAGCCCGGGAGGGGAGATAACAGTATCGGCCCGCCCACCCCCGCACAGGTGGTGGGAAGTTGGCGGCGTGCGTACGCAGTATTTGTTTTGAACCGCTCTTTATTGACCTTTTACACCCTTCCACAAATGACACCCTTTGATGCAGACCGCCCGCCGAACCGAGCGCCAGTGATCGAGGGGGAGATAAGAGCCCGGGAGGGGAGATAACAGTATCGGCCCGCCCACCCCCGCACAGGTGGTGGGAAGTTGGCGGCGTGCGTACGCAGTCAAACGGAACGCCGCTCTCCCGGTTTCCGGAAACATATGCGCCGATACCTACTTCAGCCGGGGAACACTTATACATGTTGCTTTGCAAATTGCTATACCTACTTGAAAATTACGGCCCACACATGCACTTTACTTTTATTTGGCTGTTTTCACTCTCAAATTACTCACAGCTCAACGTCGAAATGAATTGCCATTTTCTTGATCTCTTTCTCGAAACAATATAACAGGAAATAGGCATAATATGCCTTGCTTGCATGAAATAGCATAGTTGACCGGAGATCAACATCACATAATCATATTTGTAGGAGATACCATTCTCAAATATTCATAACCGCTAACGAGTTTGCTACCATCGTATTCGCCTCGTGAAATCGAGTGAAATGATATATCGCATGACATGTTTGCATGAAATGACATATTTGACCTGAGGTCAAGGTCATGACCCATATGTTTCATATTGCCATATCACATCACTTGACCTGACCTCAGAGGTCACCGGCTGACCTGAGACCTTTACAGCGGGTTCCTACCAGTCACTCTGCATTATACTTTGCCGCATACGACCACTTTACTGCTTAATTCTAGTTAAATTAGCGGCGCATTAGCGAGGTGGGTTCAATCAACCCCCTTGGCCGGGGCAAATGTAGGTCCGGCGAGTGAATTTAAGGAATTCTGAAGATACGATCGTGTTCCTCACTCAATTCTGCGTAAGATGCCGGGTTCCGTATCTACGTAACTTGAACGTAACGGATGCGGCGGCCGCAAACGTAAATCGAGGTCCCGAATTCCCTATTCCTCAACACAGGCGGCGGCCGGTTCTTGGTCTGCGCAATATGGCCGCCACCGTTAGACACCACGGCCAATACCGGGTGTTGCAGCTAAATTGGGACAAAGTTCGTAACCTAATCACAATTTTGTTATTTGGAGGATATGGCTGAAAATTTGACATGATACTATTTCAACAATGCTCTTTCACGTGCTAATATTTTTGATGCACGAAAACCGATAACAGTCATGGAGGAACAGCGTAGATGTACAGTTGCTGAATTAGTTCGCGCTGGACAAAGCGCGAAAGAGATCGTTATCGCAACAGGATACCCGAAGTCTACGGTATATCGCACTGTCGCTACTATGGACGGTGGAGGAGATGTCAGTAGACGTCCCCATGCGCCGCGAAGTGACCGCAAACGGAATCCTCGGTTTCTCGCGGGCTTGAAAAGGTCTATTGAGGCCAAACCAGGTGTCTCAATGCGTAAGCTAGCGCGAGACCGAAGGGTGAGCAAAAGCACCATTAGCAGGGCTGTCAAGGAGAACCTCGGGATGAGGTCGTATAGTAGGAAACGGCAGAACCTTCTGACGGAGCGTCTAAAAGCGTTACGGAAGGAGAGGGTCCCGATGGTTCTGAACCAGCTCAAGAACCATGGAGGAGACGTGAGAGTCTTTGTGGACGAAAAGAAGTTTGTGGTAGACGAAGTTGCCAACCGCCGGAACTCAAGAGTCATCGCCTCGAACCCCGGTGATGTTCCACCAGTGATGATAAGCAAAAATCCAGCCTCTGTGATGGTGTTCGGAGCCGTCGCGAGCGACGGTCGCGTCATGCCCCCTCACTTCATACCTGCTGGAGAAAGAATCGGCGCAGAGGAGTATCTGGCCATCTTAGAAGAAGTGCTTTTGCCCTGGATGGCGAAGTACTACGACCTGAAGAAAGTCACACTTGTACAGGACTCGGCTCCAGCTCATGCTTCCCGGAGGGTGCAGGATTTCCTTAGTCGGAAGATCCCTCTGTATGTCCCAAAGGATACGTGGCCTCCAAACTCACCCGACCTAAATCCGTGCGACTTTTGGATGTGGAGCGCGATTGAGGAGAGGTCCAACGCACGTGCCCATGACAGCATCTCGAGCCTCAAGAAGTCCATCAAGAAGGCAGCCAGCAGCATCGATCCTATGGAGGCTCAGCGCGCGTGCGGCGCGTTCCGACGCCGCCTGGAGATGGTGAAGGAGGCTCATGGTGGCCACATTGAGTGAGAGGGTAGAGAACATGTGCGTCAATACACGTTCAAAGTTTGAAAGCTCTGTCTCTTCATTCTACTGAGTTATGCCACTTTAAGTGTAAGCGGGAAAAATTCCCAATTTAGCTGCAACACCCTGTAGGATTGAAGCGGCAGTGCTCCCCTGTGGGCAGAAATGACAATGATCAGCTGACGCATTTTTCTTGGCCGAAGTCAGAGCGCGCAGCCCGACGCACCACCACCGCACCACAAAGTATGAGCAGAAGCCGCGCCCAAAGCCAGGGCCCCGGTAACGTGAGGTAGCCGAGTCGGGGCAGCGTGCGCTGACCCAAGCCGGGGCCGCAGCTTTTGGCGCGGTCTACCGCATCCCCGCGGGCAGCCCCGGGCTATCACATGACACCGGGAGGACGCGCGGCTCCGGCTTGGGTCAGCGCACGCTGCCCTGACTCGGCTACCTCACGTTACCGGGGCCCTGGCTTTGGGCGTGGTCTACCGCACCACCTAACAGGCGTGTTCGAAACTGCAGGAGCTGATGATGAACGGGTTTATCGAAACTTGATTGGATGAGCATATCGGTAATAGCGATTTCAGTGTGTGCATTTATTGTTCATAGTGGTGTGAAATGTGGTTGGGGTACGACCGACAACCCGTCGGGGCGAATTTCGCACTGGGGTACTCAAAATTTGAAGAATTTAAGACGTTTCCATGAGTTTTGAAGGTATGGATAAGTTCTAAAAATCCGGTTCTCCTTATCTGGGCCATTAACTCCATACGGTCCAGGAAAGCTGGCACACTACCTTTAATGTCACAGCGAAAAGTATAACTGCTTAATTCAATCGATTGATAGATTCATGCTGGGATACGTTCAACATTGCCTGTGTCCTGTGGCTTCAGGTGTGACAGCACTGAGACGTCATGAGCCGTTCAGAGAAATACGAACTGGGCGCGGTCGACTCCAAGACCAAGAAGAAAAAGTACGGCTCACTGGACCAGGGTGTGAGCTCTTCGCTAACGCACATCATCACCAATGACTCGCTCGAGGTAAGGCCCACAGCTGCAGCGGTCGCATGATGCTGCAGACTGCTTTACGTACATATCATGCAACTAAAAATAAAAAGGCATGTCATATGTGTGCGCCAATCAAAAGAATGAGATTTCTGGAAGACCAGATAGTAAACACGCCAATCAGCCGCCAGATATGCAGTGTATCTATTGAATAAAGACCGTGGGTTGTGGTTGAATGACTGAATGTCGAGCTGCACCGAAGTGTCAACTTCGGCTGTCCGTGCCTGAAGTCTATCCTGAACTGTCCAACTGACCGCATGCCAAACTCCAAGCTTTAATTACCATTCGCGGCGTGCTTCCACAAGTGTTTCTTAGTGAAGCGACTGAAGAAGCCCAGCTGTGCGCAATGACTGCCGTCTGCCCTGCCCCTAGTGGAAACTTAGGGTGTTCATCAGCATTTGGCTGTGGCTGAAAGAAGAAAAACATATTGTGTCCAATCAGGGCTGCGGAGTCGATGGATTTACGGCGACTCCGACTCCGACTCCGACTCCGGCTTTCAAAAACCAACTCCGACTCCGACTCCGACTCCGGGCAGAAATGTCGACTCCGATCGACTCCAACTCCCGACTCCGACTCCGCACACCTGGCAGGGCTGCGGAGTCGACAGATTTTCGGTGACTCCGACTCCGACTCCGGCTGGGGTTTCCAATATCGACTCCGACTCCGACTCCGACTCCGGTCACAACTGTCGACTCCGACCGACTCCGACTCCGACTCCGACTCCAACTCCGCAGCCCTGTGTCCAATAAAACAATATATTAGTGACGTTTCGATTTGACTGCATTTTACTAAAGCTGATGCTTTGACATTCGAATCATCACTGGATTAAGCACGTTCCTTTGATCAACTATCGATTGTTGAACTGTTTCTTGAATATTTTTTTCTTTCTTATGCATTTTTTTAACTTTCGTTCATTTAATGAGCCGGCAGGGTTTGTCGAAGTTCAAGTCACCCATTCACTTCAAGTTAAGAGCAATGCTCTAGGACAGAGCATTGAGTTCCATTTCTCTCAGTGCTGGGAAATCGTTCCTTTCATAGACAAATCCAGCTGAATTGCCTTGTGTCAGCAAGCAATACGCTGAACTCCGACAGCTCTCCCCACCGACACAATGAAGTAGTGTAGTGAAACCAATAAGCATGCGGCAGATATGGCACAGCAGTGCACGATGGCAAACAATGTTATATAAATGAGGATCACCGCATGAGTTTTACAAAAGTTTAAGCGTAAAATAAACAACGTATGCATTTAATAAATGTTGCCGCCTTACTAATCCGAGCATATATGGAGCTACGGAAGTCTTTGGTAAATTTGTATGTACTTTTGCAGCATGAAAATAGCATCTGCATTGAATAACGCTCTCAGTAGCTTCACAATGAATCATTCGCTATGACCTGACAGCACGGGGCCCATCCCACTGAAGACTGTCGTAGGAAGTGGTGGTTGGATGAGTGGCCCGCCACGCAGCTGTTGTTCACTCTAGGACACAGAAGGTGCACAAGTGTTCGGTCCGGACCGGACCAAACTGAGCCGACCGACCGCGGCACCGGCCTGGGACATGCTGTGATGGACATGTGGCGCCCGCCCGAGCCTCCCCCAGACACTGGGAGCCACAGATACGTCGTGTTTGGACGGCAAATGTCACAGATATTGACGTCCAACAGGTGTGGGATCTTGTGGTGGTTGTTTGCTTGTCATATGTGATATTGGGATACGTTGAAGTATCTGTGTTGCAACTTGCAAATGGGATGCTCCTTCAATACTTGCACTCTATACGTATTTCTTACCTATATGTAACATATTATCATGTACCTGGAAATTTGTTCACATAGTACATATTCTATTTCATATATGTATGACATTAACGAGCAAAATGTAACATTGTAACAAGCTCGTCGACGATGACATGCATATTTTTCACTACAGCTGCATTTAACTTCTTTCCATAATCTGGTCTGGTCAGCTGGCACTCAGGCTTATTTACCGTCAGCGATTGCATACTCACCCCGGTGGAGGCCGAGTCCAATGGGTCGTCAATCGGGGGTCACTTGGACCTCCGCCTGGCCGAGCGGTGTTGAGAACCGGTCTACTCACGGGATACTGCGGTAATAGCTCCCGCTCAAGACGGGTCCTGGCGACTACCGAGCTTGGCACTGGCTAAAATCTAGCTGTAAGGGAATGGCAGATTGAGTCTGCGAAAAGGGATAAAATCAAACTCAGTAGCATTGACCGTTTCCTAAATGAACTGTAAATTAATACCCAGAATAGCTTTTGCGTTGTCTGTAATCATACTCTCCTGAACTAACTGTAAGTTAATTCAGACACCTATCTACTTGTATGTGCGTGAGCATGATAAGGTGTATGCCAGTATGTGTGTGTGTGCGTCCGGTGCCGTGTGCAGCATTGATCGCACCACTATTCCAGTCAGGGTCCAGAGCTGGCCTGGACGGACGCAGCCACCACCTGTATCGAACCAATCCCTCCCACCTGCAAAAACAGACATGGCTCGTCAATATTATATTCCCGAGATCACGAGCACATTTTTGTCAGGGCAAGCTCATGGGAGGCATATAGATACCAGTATAACGCCTTTTGGGGCGACTAACGGAGCGAGCGAGAGGGTGGGCCTTGCACGTGCGAAATTGCGAGGGGGTACCTCCAACTGACTTGTGCACGGCACCCTACTAACCGGTCTCTAGCGATGTGCCAAATTTGGGCACAATTGGCCCAGCCGTTCTCGAGATCTGGAAGCGGCACCCTGCACGTGCGCACGTGCAAAATGGGTCCCAACTGACTTGTGCACGGCACCCTACTAACCGGTCCCTAACTGTGTACCAAATTTGAGCGCAATCGGTCGAGCCGTTCTCGAGATCTGGAAACGACCCCTGCACGTGCGCACGTGCAGCAGCGCCCCAACTCTGGCACATGGATATGCAGTGCCTAGTGGGTGCCTACCTACATGCCAACTTTCAGCGCAATCGGCCAAGTAGTTACCGAGATATTGCAACAATTACAAAACGGACACCTCTTCGTTTTGCACGTGGCACGTGCATAAGGGGTCACCCACGTGCATCAGGAATAGTCCAATACTTGGTAGAAGGAATGAAGCTACCCTACAAAAATTACCGCGTGTAAATCGGTCAAGTGGTTGCTGAGATATAAGCCTCGCAAAAGCGTGACCACGGCCGGCCGGCCGGCCGGCCGGCCGCTCATACTCAGAAATTTCCGTTAATCTAAGGAAAGACTACGCTCGCTTCGCTCGCTCCGTAATAAAGATATCTAATAGTTGCAGTGACGAACTGATGTATGCACGAGTTAGAGATAGGACACAGTCAACGAACGAGGATGGAATGTCAGCACAACGTTCTGCTTTATGATGGCTGGTTTCCTTTGGAATGCATTACAATCAGTCAGTTTTATGGTGCTTACAAAGTCAGGTATTTTGTTGGCTAAATTATTCATTACAGCCATAAGCGTCGCCACGGGGGGGCAAGCGGGGCAGCTTGCCCCCCCAACCTCGGACCGGGCACCCCCTGAGATCGATACAGATCCGATGAGATTTTGGAGTCGGGAAAAAATGGGGGTACCTTTCTGAGAATGCCTGTGAGGTCAGACTCGGTTGGAGCGTGCAGTTCAAACCAGAGTCTGACTTGCAGTCTCCAAAATCTTCAAGACTCCGAGTCCAGACTCGGAAATGTCAATGCTGTGATTCATTCCATGTTCCTAGTTCGTTCTTTATTACATTTTACAGCTGATTTTCGGAAGTTTTGGAGTGCTGACACAATTTTCGTTCAACGCGTGAAACGAAATCTTCGGGGCCTTTCTCAACTCTCGTCAAATGTCTGCGACAGGCTCAAGTACCGTACAGTCTGTCTTAAAAGTACCGCGCAAAGTGACGGTGGATCCACTGACCGAGGAAGGGCCTGCTATAATTCGAAAGTGACCGAACCAATTGACCTGGGGAATGCACGAGGATGTCAATTGCTTCGGTGAATCAAATTATAGCAGGCCCTTCCTCGGTCAGGCTTGATGGATCCACCGTCACTTTGCGCGGTACTTTTAAGTACAAGTGTCGCAGGGCTCATGAGCTTGCCTTACACAAAGGCTCCTAAGGAGCTCCACTGAGCCCTAAAGAAGCTTTCAGAGGGCCCAAACCGGCCTTTGAAAGTCCCACTGGTGTCCATGTTCTCTGAGGGTCCATACAGGGATCTTTGAGCCTTCGAACATTTCTGAGAACCTTAACTGGCCTCTGATAGTTCAGCCAAACTTTTGAGGCGACAGACTTTGCTAAATCCAAGCCGGCATCTGAGGGTCACAGCTCACGTGCCCCTCTGAGGTCCGCAACACATGTTTATTATGTCTCTTCATAGGGTCCTTAGGGATTCGACACAGACCCCAAGGGTTCACACTGTTATCCGAGGGCTCCAGGCTCACCCTGGGCCTAGTCTCTTAGCGCCCGCCGCCGACACTGGCCCCTGAGGGCCCCACCTTGGGCTCGGAAAGCCCTAAAGCACCACGTACACGTAAATATTTGAGGTGACCCACGCCGATCTCCGGGATCCTAAGCATGCTTCTGAGAGTCAGCACTGACCCTGAGTGGCCTGAAATGGCCTGGAAGTCCCAAACCTATCTCTAAGGGATCCCTTGTCGCTATGCCGTGCGTAACTTTTGGTTCCGTTTAACAGTTTTTGTTCGCGTTTGCAACGCTTCCCTTCACACGAAAAACGAGAAACTTTTGTTCACACTCGAGTGAACAAAACACTTCCTCTCGCTGGAACAAAGATGATTTACTTCCGATTCACACTTCCGACATTCACTCTCCGCCGAATGCCCGACTTAGCTACGATCGGCGGCTGGGATAAGTCCTATACAGTATACATTTCACGTAAAACCTCTGCATGCATGCGTGAATGAAGGTTTTAGCAGGGTGATCCGATTAAATGGAGCGTTTTTCACCTTTTTCTGGGTAATGATCATGAGCGTCGAGCGTCTGCACATGGGCCCTCTGCAGTGCCTCGGCAATCGCAGCCACTATATACTATGATTCTACCAGTCGTTATTGTCATGAAATTTCAAAATTTCGAATTTTTCTGTAAAAAAAAAAAAATTACATGTCATAGCTAGAAAGCAACCTTTACCTATCGCCATCGGATTCCTCGCATAATTGCGCGTCGAATGATATGTAAAACGAGTGAGTAAAGACTGGGGAAAGGCAAATTTTAACACAAAAGTTGATTTTGCCCCCCCCAACCGAAAATCTCTGGCGACGCCTATGATTACAGCACTCCTTGTGACAAAGTGAGATTACTTGCTTCTGTTATTTTAGACATACCATACAAATATGCAACTTTGCCTCGTAGTTAAGCTGACTTCGATTGTTGTTCACAGTCACCCTGAAACCTAAACCTTGCTTATGCTTGTATAAAATATCTACAATATAATTGTAGATATTTTGGGCTAGTATATTTCAGGGCCTATTTTAAGACAATTGGACTGGGGTGGCCAGGCAGTGGTGGCGCCCCTGTCTCTTGTGTTGGCGCCCCCCCCCCCCCACCGAAATACTGCTGTGCGCAGCATTTCGATGGGGGGGGGGGGCGTCGCAATCGAGTCTCAGAATCTTTTCTTTGTGACGGTAGTACGTAAGGACTAACGTTTCGGGAAAGTGTCTGGAGGCCTTTGTTGGCATAGTTTTTTTTTCTAACATAGCCCTTTCGGGCGATGCATGGAAAGAATTAAGCCAAAAGTCGGCTGTGCATGGTGCAACCCCCTTTCGTCAGAGAACTTTTACTGCTTATGCCGATGGCCCTCAAATCCCCCCCCCCCCCCGATCCGTCCATGATAAACACCTTCCCATACCAAGCAGCCGGCGTCACTCGAGGTCACTTTATCTTGAAATTTCGATATCGATGACCTAAGGTCAGGTCAATTTTTCGACCTCTCCATTAGGTATAAGTCAATGGGAGAAAATTGAAAAGCGCCTCTTTTAGACGAACGCCATTCTAAACATTTTCAAACACTAAATTACGAGTTAACATGACACGCTGAACCAGAAAATGGCACCCGTGACCCCTCGTTATGCCCCCGAGGTCATATCAGGTCACGAATGGTATCTAACAGTTTTTCGCTAATAGCTTCTGATAGAGGCAAGCTAGAGCGATGAAAACGCCTTAGATGTGTTCGGCTCGACGTTGCGGATCGACTGATATGCAGCACGACCTTTTCCGTTCAGGTCATTACCTTGACCTGTAGTCAAATTTTCAAGTTGACCTTTCAAGGTCAAATTATAGTTCATTCGACGCGTCTAGACGAGAGGAACACCATGCTGGCAAAAATACTGTCGTGTCTCTCTTGAGTCAAAAGTTATTGAAGAAAACGAAGTTTTTGCACTCTGGAGGCTAAACCGTTGACCTGAGGTCAAACCTGAGAACATTATTCAGAAAGCCCTGTAAAAGAGCTATCGATTGCGCTTTTCCGCGGCGCTGTAGCTCTATTGGTTCCCGAGTTGTCCGTCGGCAGTTTCGAAAAATGTTGAAATAACAAAATTTGACCTTTGATGACCTTTGGTGACCTGACCTTTGACCTGACCTAAAAAAATAACAAGTGGGTATTTTCGTCATGGTTTTTGACGTCCTTTCGGATGCCGCTTACCGCGTGTCGCTACTTGGCCCAGGAGCCGACTTAGAAGGGGGGTGTTCAAATCCCCGCCCCCCCCCCCCCCCCAGCAGGGCGTGGAAATCCAGGACCCCCAGTGGGGCGCGGGTTAAACCGCCGCCCGCCAGATTTTTCTCTTGGAAATACCCTCGTCAGAAGCAATGCGTGCACGTGCGTTTGAAAATCCATTGTTGATCACACGGCCTGTCTCATAGCCACATGACAAATTTAATTTTGCGGCCGATACTGATAGGGCTCCCAAAGGTGCAGTTGGCGCCCCAGTAGTGGTGTGGCGCCCCAATCGTGTCTGGGCGCCCGAATGTTGATAGGGCTCTTCAGTCGTGGTAGGCGCCCAAGTGCTGGTAGGGCGCCCCATTGCCGGTAGTGTGTCCCAATCGAATTAGAGAGTCCCATAGCTCAGTTGGTAGAGCACCGGACTCCCGGTAGTGAGAGCCCGGGTTCGAGTCGCTCCGGTGCTCGATATTTGAGACTCCTGACGGGGATGGTCTGCGGTTGGTGGGAGCAGCCGCAGCCAGTTGAAGTCAGTTGAGTGGGACAGGTTGTGTCCGGCTTTGAAGGGCACGTTAAACTTAGGCATCTAAATTATTCCGTTACCCGGAATTGCGCGATCAGACGGTAGGGGTCGGGGTCTACGCAACAAGCTCTGCTTAGCGTGGGCTCCGGCTCTGTCAATCCGTCCATTCAAACATTCAAGCTAAATTTATAAAAAAAAAGTAGGGCGCCACAGTTGCGGCAGGGCGCCCCCAGTAGTGAGAGGGCATCCCATTGGTGGTGGTGGCGCCTCAGTGAGCCCTTTTCCCCCTGTCAAGCTGAGTTCGCCCCAAGAATGTGTCGCCTCCGTGATTGTCGGCAGCCAATATCTGTGGGCAGACTTTTGGGCTGTTTTGCACTGGGGTGGCAAAGCAAGACGACTGGGGTGGAAAACCGCACCACTGGGGTGGGTTTTGCCACCCCAGTTAACATGTTAAAATAGGCCCTGGTATATTTGTTGAACGTCATAATATATGATACGTAAAGATTGATAGTAATGTTTACATAAATATTCGTTTACCTACTGCTTAAAGAAGCAATCTTATCTTTTAAATGCCTTACATTTGCTCGAAATAATCGAATAAAATTCATTTTAAGCCCCATGCTTTATGAGTTATATGTTAATTTTATACATGAGTTTGCACCCCTGGCTGAATTGCCTGAAATACGAACGATGTGCAGCTTCTCATATCTCATAAATGTGTCATGATTACGAACAAATGTGTGATTGGAGAGAAAGTGTTCTAACAATATTCATGGTGTTCTGCAGTGCAAGATTTAGGCAAGTATTTCCATTTATGCTCGAAAATTACAAATGCTTTGGCCAGTTTTAGGCCAGAATGAAACTAAGGTAACCAGATGTCATCAAGCCTTTACTGATTGTTACATACTGAAAACTTTGATGTTTTCGACGGATCTGCTCATTGCTTCTTTTCTAACACAACCATCATAGCAAAGTGACAATTAATGGTTGTTAGTCAAGTATCCTTCCTAAAATGTCGTCAGTTTTCACCTGAAAGAAACCCTTTGCTATTCAAACACTCCCAGTATGGTAAGGTCATGAAGTATTAACAGCCTAGCTTGCGTGGTTACTTCGTTACGCGTGTAACCATGTGCACCATAACTCACACCGGAAAAGAGGCCATGACGGCGTCAGCAGGCATCCGGTCAGGAAACGAGAGAGACCACGCGACCGGGCCGTAGCCGCGGAGGGGGGCGGCCGGGGGGCCTGCCCTCCGGGCGCGTCAGGCCGCTCCGTGCGTGCAGTGCACGTATCGGACCGGCCGTCGCTCACGGCGGACCTCTTTATGTGAGCAGCTGTCCGTTCCCAGGCGGTGCCCGATGACGGGACCACAGAGCAGACTAGCCTGCTGGAGCCGCCGCAGCCGGGCACCAGCGCCTCCAGCTACGCGCAGAACGTGCAGAACGTCTCTGAGCTCGGCCTGGCCCCAGACGGCGCGGCGCCCTCCTTTGAAGCCGTCACTATCACCATGGTAACCTTTCCATCCTGCCAGACCCATTCATTTCATGCTGTCATCTCCGCCAGAGCTGCGTTTTGTTTCAATCAGTTTCGAGAAATGAGGTGCCGCTTTTTTCATTAAAGCTAACCCTTCAACGTCCTTTCATCTTTCCTTGATAAGACCTAACTCAATAACAGTGTGTTTCTCCTTTGATTTTAGTTCATATCTTTTCTCGGCACCCGATTTGGAGCTTTGCACAGCTGGCCGACTATCGCAGCTAAAACAACTATAAGAAGCTTACTATTTTTTATTATTATTATTTTGACTGTCTAATATGTAATGCTCCCATCACGTCTAGCACCGGGTGTTATAACTACGTGATTGATCTGAGCAGTTGCTGTTGACAACAAAGGTGTCTACTCTGATCAAAAGTGAAATAGCTGCATGGGTATTTGAGTGTCTGTCCAAGTAAGTTATTCATTTCTTGATCCCATTCAAATACCCCATCCCTATATGCACTTCAACACGCGTCCTACCTTCCAACAACAGCAACAACAACAACAACAACGCGTCCTACCTTCCATCCATCCCACCCATGTTATTCATCCTTCATCCCATCCCTTTCCATCCCCAGCCGGAGGAGGAGGAAGGGCTGGAGGAAGGTGACCAGATGACCGCAGCCGCCGACTCATCTGACCAAGTTCCTCTCCTGGACCCCTCGCCCTCACCGCTGGATGTCAGGCGGTCCAGCAGCGCTTCCCCTAGGAGATCCTCCCTGCTGGTCAGGTCGCTGCGCTCCATCGCCAGCTTTCGGAAGAAGCGGAGGAGTCAGGTGATATTCGTGGGGCAGCGCTGAGCGCGCGTGAGAGATAAAGTGTCTGTTAGAATGACGGACATTTGAATAGTGGACTTTTCAACTGATAGGTTTTATGTTATTTCAACCGAATTGGTTGGGCTAAGCAAGCAATAATTTGTGAAATAAAACTGTCGTATTTCACCTAAATCACAAACTAATAAGATAAGAGCAATAGCCTTGCCTCAAGCTATGTTTTTTCCTCTCGATGATCCGCGGGATGCGAAATATCGGGGATTACTGCGCCCCTCGCCCAGAGCTGATGTTGAAAGCCTATTGATCTTAGGACAGGTAATCGACCTGATCCTCTTCCATCGCCGCCTTCAGACAGGACTGGAGGGCAGTGTGGAGCAAATGAATCCCGCTGCTGCCGCCGCATCTTCTGCCTCTCGAGATCCTCTCCTGGATACCTCTCAGGGGCGTCTCCTGGGTGCCTCTCAGGATGCACTCCTGGATACACCTCAGGATCCTCCCCTGAATCCGTCGGCTCTAGCAGTGGAGCGAAACAGCCTGATGCCTCAACCCTTTGGCAGTGCTGTGATTCAACCTATCCCAGAATTCCAGGGGTACCAACAAGAACAGGTAACGGGACTTTACAATAGCCTCCGTGCTAGCAGACAAGTTATATTTGAATGCCATCTTTGGCAGTCTCGTGCTTTTTTTAGAGAGAAAAAGAATTAGCCCTTCAGGGTTTCTAACTGTTTAAAAATACAAATGTTGCAGAGGCACAAACCAGTCTGTCAATATAAAATGCCTTTTTCCCATCTCATTCCTTTCCTACATTTTCTTTCGTACTATGCATGTTTCCATCGCGCCTATCGTATCATTCCCAGCCGGAAGAGCAGGGACTTGAAGAGCAGCAGGCGGCCTTCCCTGCTGAGCCGTCACCCTCCCAGGATCCTCTCCAGACCGCCTCCCCGCCTGAGTCTGAGCGGCTCAGTCTGCTGCCCCATCCCTCCAGCAGTGCCTCTTCAAGACGACCTTCGAGAGTCACTAGGTCCTACCAGGCCATCCAGATAATCCGAGATGAGCCAGAACAGGTATAATATTGCACGCCGTCAGGCGATTATTTAATTGAAAATAATCAACAGCATTTGCTCATCTGGAGAATGATTTGAAAACCTCCACATACTGTTCTTCCAACGTTTTTTTTTTTTTAAAGTCATTATTCATTTTGTCTCCGTTTCCGCTATGGCCAATGATACCCCTCGAGGTGATACATTGATGGACGGTAACTTCCTGATAGATTGACTTCCCGTGGCTCTTTCCCTCTTGTGTCCTGTACCTGCACCTACGTCCTGCGTCCCGCGCGCAGCCGGTGGAGCAGCGAGGCTCCATCACGGGCTGGCTGCAGAGGAAACTCTCCGGACAGCGGCAGGGCAGCGTGGAGGATCTGGCGACGTTCGCGTTCGACCCGGCCAGCAGCGGTGATGTGAGCCCTGCGGACGGCGGCCAGGGCAGGGCAGGGGAGGGCCGCTCGATACCGGTGCCGGGGCCGTGAATTCCGACGCGCCCGTGGCGATGGCCCCGTCGGACGGTCCCGCTGGTAGAGGGTGCAGCGCTGCCGCTACCGCCACCGCTACACCGCCCGTGTGGCGGTGGAGGGGATGGTTGGGGCTGAGCTGACGCAGCTTTGTACCCGGCTGACAGCCACTGATAGCTGATGAGAAATGAACCCGACAGTGGCCGGGCACAGCCACACGAACGCAGGCCGTAATGTGTCAGAAAGCTCAGCACGGACTCAGCGTGATCGATTGCATTAATTGATAACTTCGAGGCAGAGATTAATTTCTTTATTATTTATATCACCTATTTCACGAACAGTTTCAGACAGAATAGCTGATGTGTTTCGGTTTTGATGTATCCAGCTTATCGTAGATAGGTTTAATGCAAAGCCCAGAAATCCTTCCGATCCCGAACCAGAGTCAACAGGCTGGATGGTGTGGTGATACCGCTTCCCGATGCGGCAGCCGGAGGCGGCGATGCTGGCGGCGGCGCAGCAGCAGGCCCGACACAAACCTCTGGCTATGGACGCGTCTCTGACTGGAGCCGAGAGATTTACCGCCCTCCTCACCGCCGATCCTGAGGTAACCGGCGTCCCGATTCACCGCCGATCCTGAGGTAACCAGCGTCCTGATTCACCGCCCTCCTCACCGCCGATCCTGAGGTAACCGGCGTCCCATCCTGCCACATCGGCACGTCACTGTGGGTAAAGGATGATGTGTGATAGAATTATAGTGATGCAGGTAACGAGTGCGCTGCTCCGTCCCTAAACTATAGAAGATAGCGTCCTAACCCTCATGCCCAATTCTTCCCACTTAGTCTGGGTTGGTTCGCTGGAATAAAAACAAAAGTTTGGTCGAATTTGCACGTTAAAAGTCTTCGTTTTAGGCGTCATCGTTTTCGTCCTTTTCATACTTGAATGACCTTGTGTTCCTCCCTTGAAGATCATTATGATACTTTCTTATAAAGGCATGAACAGACAATTGATTGCAATCCCTCGATGACGAGCTGACTTTCAGTGAGCCATATTTAACTTTATATGGAGCTCGGCGCGCATTCCTAGATTCGCACGCCCAAACTCAGTTATGCTAATGAACGATAGTTAACTGACCGTAGGTCTGCTCCTGAAATTTAGCACAGAGAGCGCTCAACTGATATCCCCATAGGCCGTTATCTTGACCTGTTTTAGACTCCACTTGCATTTGTTCTATAAGTGAGAGCTACTTTTTATGTCAAGTGAGTAACATGGATCAGCATCAACCTGAATATATGGGCTTTATGGGCTTTATATTATATGGGCTTATAGTATATGGGCTTTTATTTACCTATTTTCATTCCAGATATTCATCTGTGAAAAGTAGCACAGGCATCATATAGATGAAAGCATGGATTAATCGGAAATGCACAGACATGGCTACGTTCGGTCCCGTAGCTCAGTCGGTAGAGCGATGGACTCCGCGTGGTGAGAGCACGCGTTCCCGGTTATAACAGTCCGGGTTCGAAGCGCTACGGGCGCTCGACATTTATGGGCATCCTGACAGGTATGGTTGCGGTTGGTGGCAAGCCGTAGCCAGCCGAAGTCAGTGAGGGGACCGACCGTGCGCGGCTATGTGCGCACGTTAAACTTTGGACTCCAGATTCTATTCTGCCATAGAACCGGAATCGCGCGATCGGCAGGGTCAGCGCAACAATCGACATTTCAAACTTCAGAATAATCCTCGTTCAAACCGACTTTGATGAAAACCACAGACGATGGCATAATAAATAGACGCAAAGGACTGAGGAGTGCTGGCATCCAGACCGGTTAATGAGGTGGGAACATAGTACACCTAGGATCAGGCGCCATTGATTGCAGCATTTGTCTTCTAGACCGACAGTGAATCGCATAAGATAATATATAGGAGATATGATGCACGACACTAAAAGCAAAGCTTCTCCAAACTTTTGTGAAAGCGAATGCCAATTCAAAGACGTCCGTCTATCGTAAAAGCAAACATATTAAGTTGCGAGTTTTCTTAACTTGAATGAATGATATTCTGGGATACCAATTCCTTTTCCCGACTTCCGATTGGCCCTTTCGGCGCGAGATCGAGACATTCGACATACGGTTCTGTTGCCGCCAGCCGATCAGGCATAACAAAGAGCTCGTTGTTTTTCCATCAGCCGGTCGTCAGAGGCAGTAGCCGCCGACGCCGGCACGGAACCTTCTCTGATTAGTCGCCGCGCACGCGGACGGCTGTTTTGGTAGCGCCCCCTCCTCTCTCCTCTCTCTCTCTCTCTCTCTCTCTCTCTCTCTCTCTCTCTCTCTCTCTCTCTCTCTCTCTCTCTCTCTCTCTCTCTCTCTCTCACTTTCTCTCTCTCTCTCTCTCTCTCTCTCTCTCTCTCTCTCTCTCTCTCTCCCTCTCCCCGCCTCTCTCTCTCCCTCTCCCGCCTCTCTCTCTCTTCCTCTATCCCTTTCTCTCTCTCTTCCCATTCTCCTTCTCCCTATCTAGCCCCTCTTTCTCGTTCTCTGTCCGTCTCTCTCTGTCCTTCTTTCACTCTCTCTCCCTCTCTCCCTTTCTCTCCCTCTCTCGCCCTCTCTCTCCCTCTCTCCGGGCTAAAGACGCTGCGCCCCGGAGTGTTTGCAGAGCCGCGCTGGATCTGTTCTGGATGTCAGTCCCACGATGCTGTGTCAATCCAATATCGGAGAGAGCCGGCAGGGTCAACTGCACATTCGCTGACCGGGGCTCTCCTGATTCTCCCGGCCCACCACCCGTATCGAGCTCCGGCTCAGGATCCAGCTCTGCCCTGAGGCGCCAGTTTCTACTACTTGAGCATCTTTCCGGGGAATAATTTCAGCGCCCGGAGCCCCGCGCCTATTCGAATGACGGACGGTTAATGGCTGTGCGCCGTAGTCCGGCTGTCCCGATGTCCGGTGCCGGCCGCTGGAGCTCTCCGAGGCGGCTGCACGGCGCGGCGCGCGTCTCCCGGGGTGGGATGGCACCGGGCCAGCGGCGCGCCGGTCCCGCCAGCTCCCCTGTTGTCCAGTCGGGACCGGGTCGGTCGGTGGGTAGGCGCCGCTCTGCGCCTATCGACCGCGCCACGCCGGCCGCGGCGCGCCGCACTGCCGGTGCGTGCTGGCCGACAGAGCGGTCAGATCTGCGACAGATGGGTCCCGTCTGATATCAGAGGACAGCTGTCCACCGGCCGAGGTCCTCGCTGATGTCCACCAGCCGAATCATATCTGACGTCGGGTGACCTGTCTAATATCCGACGGCGGATGCTCTGTTTTTTTTTTTTTCTTTAGGGCTCTCATGTGTCGGCTGTCTCATTTCTCATTTCTCATGCTTCTGTCTCATGTCCGACGGCTGATATCCTGTCTGATGTCAGAGGAAGAATGTCCACTTCTCCGGTTCTGTCTCATGTACGACGGCTGAGTCAGATGTCTGAAGGATGTGTCCTGTTTGTTGGTGGCTGGGTGATATTCCACGTATGCCTCTCGACACCTGATGTAGGTACGATGCCCCATGGTTAGATACGTGCTAAGATTTCCTGCTGATGTCCTGCCCAGATGTCTGAGGAGAACGGATCTTGTCTAGCGTCCATGTCTGAATTTAGATGAGTTTGGCACTGATTGATGTGTGGGCTGATTTCCAAGGCCCAAGTCTGATTGCTAAGGCGTTGTTGGAGGTTCCGATAGTCCGAGTTCTGGTTGCTGGCGTTTGGAGGTCAATGCATGTCTCTTGTCTATTGGATTACCTACATGATTCTTGCACCATGCGGCGCAGCTGTATGCTGCATTTGTGCTTACCTAACATCCGATGTCTGAAATACGTCTTATCACATTGCTGTTTTTCTATAGTGTCCAAGGCCTGATCGTTTTTATGTCGTATGGTGTCTAATATCTGGCGTATCTTTTCGATGGCTGCTGCTCACGACCGATATTTGTTCTACTGTCTTCTAACATCAGATATCTAATATTTGAGGTGTTTTGACAGCTGGAGTTCCTCCCGCCGCACGAACAACAGTTTAATTAAAAAAACATTTTAAACGGGCAGTGTCAAGGCCTCCGAATTCCACCGTCCATTTTCACAGTCTATTTTCACTTCACTTTCAGTCGCCGTTGTGGAGCCGCCATTTCTCCTCGGCATGCCAGCACATTCAGTCGAGCTGTCCTCGGTCAGCGTCTACCAAATCGCCCTCATATCTCTGCTGACCTTTGGTCGGAAGGTTGGACTGTGGGCGGCCGTTGTGTACTGCATAAAGTCGGGGGCGGCCAATGGCCAGCCTGGGTGCGACTATGTATAGGGCGGGACAGGGACTGGGGTAGCGGCGTGGGACTAGGAGGGGACTAGGGTGGTTCGGAGGTGGGGCAGTGGGACTAGGATGGGTTTGAGTGAAAAAAGGAACTGAGAAGCTTGTAGGAACTAGAAAGGTGGACGGAGCTCAACGTCTGGCAATGATAACAGCCGAAAGCTGTTCGGAGTGTTCGAGTGTTTATGCTGTGCGCCGCATTGAGCTGCTTCTGGATTCGAAAGGATGCTAAAATACTAAAATGGCTCACGTCGTGTAAAACGTTCTGGGAAATTATACAAAACTGGAACAATATGCTGCGTGAAGCGATAACTATTGCGACGTAGGTATACGCGCTGCAAAGTATTGCATAAAGTAAATATTGCATGATGTTAATTCAGTGCATGAGAGGGATCATGCCTAAAAAATAGTGAACACTAGAACGGCCTATTATGTTTGTTCATATATTCGCGAGTTGCACGCAAGGGAATTACTGATAGGTAAGTGCTAATTTGCGTGACATGATGCCTCAAGATGTGGGCTTGATGTTTGATCGCCCATGATACAATGATAACTATTGTGACGTAGGTATACGCGCTGCAAAGTATTGCATAAAGTAAATATGGCATGATGTTAATTCAGTGCATGAGAGGGATCATGCCTAAAAAATAGTGAACACTAGAACGGCCTATTATGCTTGTTCATATATTCGCGAGTTGCACGCAAGGGAATTAATGATAGGTAAGTGCTAATTTGCGTGACATGATGCCTCAAGATGTGGGCTTGATGTTTGATCGCCCATGATACAATGATGGGCAGCTATGTGCAATAATTGTGCATTGTGTAAGCCAATGTACTTCAACAATAACATGCCCTCTTCCTAAATTGCATGACATGCCTATATTTGCTATAGGCTCAGTTTGGTTTCCATGACTTCGCAAAAACCTCGGAAGCGATCAAGCATCGCGACATTTCAGTAGATTGTGGCCTCCACACACGCGCATGTAATGCCTGATTTCTCGCACTTTCTACATAACTTGATAGTCCCGCGTCCCTTGCGACGGTCAATGCTAGATCAATCGGTCACTGCCCTTTTCCGGTGACCGTTTCACACATCGTACGGCCGTTCAGGGTCCCGTTCCAAGCCAGAGGTGCATGCCCCGCTCGGTCACCTCTGGGAGTCATCTGTCGACCCTCCAATGAAGGCGACTGTCCCGGTGGCCCCGTAAGGGTGTCAGCAATCGGAAGAGACTGAAGTGAGCGGAGGATTCTATACTCTACAGGGGTCTTCAATGATGGTCGCTGACTGACGTGCAAAAGTTGTCACTGACCGGCCTTCCCACTGGCTGGCGAATACCACCAGAAGCCGTCAGTGATTTTCAGTGCCGATGTCTTTGGCTCACCAGACGCTGGTTCATCAGCAGTGAACACCAGGGAACCATTGCAATGAAAAGTTATTTCATTTGTTGCCATATCTGTGACAGGCACTGCCAGCTATCATCCGTCACTATAAATAGTCCACGGTCAATGGTCATCTTTTGTGACGCTCAGTGAACCCCAGTGACTTTACTTGGCAGTAAATGCCCACAGTGACCATCGGTAACCCTTAGTGACCATCAGTAACCTTCAGTTACCACCGCTGACCACTGACCAGTGACCACTGGCCAGTGACCAGTGACCAGTGACCAGTGACCAGTGACCAGTGACCAGTGACCAGTGACCAGTGACCAGTGACCAGTGGCCAGTGACTGCAGTGACCAGTAAACAGTGCCGGTATATGAGCGGCGTGTGGGAGACCGGCCCCCGCCGCGGACAGCAGGCACGGTTTATGGTCGTGACTCAGTGGGCGGGGGCCACTCGGCTGATGCAGTGCCTCTTAGGCGCCAGCACGCAGTCGAAACACTCGTTGAAATGCTGATGCAGGCATTTTCCAGTCTAAGAACTCCCGGTGGAGCGCTTCAGCAAGTTAGGGAAGGAAAAATGGAGCTGAACTTTGTGAAGAGTTCAATAGGCTTATTTTTCATACTTTTTGTTTTATCTTGTGAAGCACTGTTCGCTCGCACGCAGCCATGCTGCCTCATGCTAACAACAAAGAGACACACTGTAAACTCATTTCAACAAACGTTTGCTACTTTTACAAGGAAAATTATTTAGCGCAAATCCCCGCACCCTTTGCCATGTCATCGAACGACCCTATTGTTTGTCATGGTAGTTGTTCTTACAACCCACTCACATGTAGTTCGTTAGACTAGCTACCAAAGTTTGCTTTGTCGTTGTTGTGTGAACGACTGTGTTCCTAGTTATGATCATGCGGCTACTAGGTAAAGACCTGCGCATGTTTGCATTTAACAGGGCTGAGCCGTGTACTTGTTCAGTCAAATCAATGTAAATCTTAGTTAGCATAGTAATGTCTACGTGCAGCAAACCTGTACTTGTAAGCAATCTACTAGTCTCAGGCTTGTAACGTTTTACAAAGACCTCCCTTGTATTCGTCAGTTTTCTCCACAAATCGCAGGTCGCCGCTCTGCAGTCTCATTATTACAGCAAAACAGCATTACTGAAAGTAGGTCATGTATTTAAAATGGTACATACACATTACACACACAATGGTGATGACACTGATGACCCAAGGGGCAAGGGCAATAACGCATGCGAAAAAGCAATGAGCGTCATCACTTACGAGCACACTGTAGAATCACACGTTTACATGCATTAGGTTTGAGTTAAGATAGTCATCTTGGGTTTCCTGCCTCGCAATAACTGGTTTGGGGACTCGCAACATCGAGGAATGCCTTGATTCGGAAATATGTTATTTCTAAGTCTGCGGAACACGAATTTTAAGGGGCAAACCCATTCGAATCTAAGGGGCATTCGAATTCATTAGCCCCTTGGAATTCAGGTGCTTTTTGATTTTTAGACTTCTTGAGTTTCTGCAGTTTGCTGTCTTCAGTGTAGCGACCCTTGCTTGCAAGCTGGAGCTTTCGCTCCTGATGAAAGCCTGAAAGAAAGAATCGCTAATATGCATATGCAGAACAATATGGCCTGGAGCAGAACACATTGTGCTTACTTCCATACATCACGCACTTATTCAGCAAATTTCTCTGATTCAATCTGCATTACTAGTAGTTGGAAGACATAACATTTCATTAAAAAATGACAAAAACGACCGAACACTGTTATCACCTACCATTTTTCACGGAAGTGAGCAGGAGGCCACATCACTGCACGGCGGTTGGTGCGCAACTGAAATTTTCAAAATGAAACGGCCGGAAACGTTTTTGGCGCCACCTATATAACAAGTAACAGCTTTGTGTATGTTACTACTAACACGTCTAACTAGCGTAACTAAAGTCCGTGTTGCAAAGGTGTAGCTGATACCTTCAACTAGGACATAGATTACATAAGTATGTATCAGCATTTTTGCAATGGTGTAGCTGGTTCTTTCGACAAGGATATACATTACAAATCATAAGCAAATCTATGTTCCATATTACGAATAAGACCCTGGTAGTTTTCACAATAGCCTCCATAATCCTCGTCAATTTTATGAATGGTCGACTAGGTGCTGGGGCTGATACTTATATTTGCCCTGTTGATTCAACCAACTATGACAAGATATTCGTCGTTCGACATAACCTTTATTAGTATTTTTGACAAACGCTCGTCGTTGTACGACAACCCCTTGTCAAAATGAGTTTACAGTGCAGGGAAGTTTTTAGCTACGTTTTAGGTATATACGTGCCGGCATGGGATATCGCATAAAAGATCTATTTCAAAGAACTCCTTAGCAGAGAATCACCATACAAAATGAAGAGAAGTTGTTCTAAGAAAATGATTTCATCATTGTCAAGGTGTGCCATTAAGGAGTTAGTTTGGATTAAAAAAAAAAACGGATGAATTTAGGTCAGACCGTATCTTTTATTAGCCTCCTTGGCACAGGCAATATGTGATTCCACGAAATGCGTTTTTTATTAACTGATCTTTTTTTCAGTAGTCTTAGCTCATTCAGGAGCACCAGCCCCTGTCAGGTGTGACCCCTTGTATGGACCTACCTATACGGAGCTGTTGTTTTGCACGCTGCCGTAGCTGCGTGAGCTGCATATCGGTGGCGTCCAGCCGTCAGGACACATTAGAGAAAGTGGGGTGGCGGTATCCCGCCGTTACACTGCCGTGATCAGTGCGGGCGGTCGTGGAAAAACAGTGCACCGGTGCTGCCGCGTTAGGAGCCCGTCGAGCCAGGGCGAACACTGGACTGGATAGGGTGGGATGGAAATAAACAGCTAAATGTCAGTCAAACGCATGTGTCCTGTGTCAGAAATTTTGTAAATCGCCTATTGAAATGCTACCTAAAATAATAAAAAGTTAACAAAACTTTCCTTATTTTTCATATTGTTGTATTTTCCTCCATTGCAAATTGCAATCGTTTGTTTTACAGCGTGGCTTAGCTATATCACTATCTAGACTGAGCTGAAATAAATTGTTTTCTCGTTCTGCTTGTCGGTCTACTGGAACACATTTCGTTGTTTTTTATTTGCGAACGATGGGCGTGCCAGTCGGGGCGGAACCAATTTCGCGACAGGTATCACGCGGCAGGTATCACGCGGCATCACGCGGCTGATCTGAACGGAGCTGCGAGTGCCGTTGGACGAGGCAAGCCGCTGACACATTTCATGAAAGCGCGAGCCCATTGGAAAACGGATGGCTTCTTTTACCTTTTCCGAAGGCAGTCTCCTCCGTCTCGCCTACGAAGTTTGCTGCTTAGGGTTACCGATAAATAGAATTGTGCACTTTAGTTCTTGCGCTGACCGTGAAAAACCTGCATGGATGACATCGAGGGTTCCATACAGTTACACACAAAACCACAATACCTACGAAGCAGGCAAACAAACACAAACCAAGCAAACACCCACTGCTCCAAAACAATCGTAGTGAAGCATCGAGAGACCAGCTGTTGATAAGTGACACTAGTTAAGCTTGTGGTTGTTGCGAAGTTTAAAACCTCACGACCACCATCTCCATCATCATTACCATGATGGCTGACCGGCCTCAAATATTAACTCACTCTCTAGATTTATTCAACCGTCGACTGAGCTGTGTGAAATAGAGCCGTCACTGCCAACACTGGACGGCAAGCTTGACTCGGAGATGCCAGGCTTTCCGAAATCGGTTATCACAAGATGGTTTTGTGTTTACCATTCAATATTTTTCTTACAAAAATTTCAGCAGTCTATATTTTAGCTCTGTTTGTCCAAAATACATCGCAATGCCTGTTGTTGGAAATAAGCAAAAGTTGGCGGTAGCACAAAAAGTGGCATCAAAACAGAGCAAATATCGTTTAAGTTTTCAATCTTTATATTTCAAACAAGTTCTATAACAAAGAAGTTTTCTATTTCCTACCTGTGCTTCTATAGCACAGGCAATGACCAAACTCCCCTCATTTCTCAGAACCAAAACAATGAGTACCACATCGAGCGACGGAAGGACGCGCAGCTGCCGGCTGAGATCGACAGCTGCTTCTTCCGGGACGGTAAGCGTCGGATCGACTACATCCTGGTGTACGAGGACACCACCATCCAGGGGAAGGTGCGCGGCAGGCTGGCCGAAAAACGCTTCCTCAAACAGGAGGCATGGCGCGGCCGGTTCAGGGCCAACCTTCGCAAGGCCGGCCTTCAGATGGAGGAGGTAAGAAGCCCGTTCAGGCGGCTGAGGAAGCCGTATGAGTCCACGTTATTGCGTTATGACCTTATGAGAAATAATTGTGGCTGCTGGTTATGTACGACGTTTTCAGTATGCTGTTGAAAGACGCGCACATCATTATCATACTAAGTATATCATTGCGCAATGGGCATTGTTGTATGTTCATAAAGTCAGCTAACCACTACACTACACTAACTATACACTTTCAAGCTCAATTGTTTTCGATCGAGGAGCTTGCCATTAACGTTAAATGTAGAGATGTTTCACGAATCTTGACAGCAATCCTTTTCACGCCATATATGTAATTATATAGCCACATGTTGGATACTTTAACCTTTTACGTCTTCAGAGTGTATTGACAATTGCAATACTTTGAATGAATCGTTTTGGTGAGCATTAAAATAAAAGGAGAACAGATTGTATTCAGAGTAACAACTACACTAAATAACAGCTAAATAACGAAATACTAAATATGCATCACAATAGAAATACTAAATAACTAAATAACAACAGAGGGTGATGATATTTTGCTACAGGAAATCGTTCCCGGTCCGAAGAAAACCATTTATTTTATCAAGCTGCACGCGCCGTGGGACGTGCTCTGCACCTGGGCAGAGGAGCTGAAGATGCGGGCACCTCTTCAGGTGAGTCTCTGCGTCTGTCGGCTCCCGTGCACCACGTCGCCAGCGGGCAGTGTTTTGACATAATGGCCCGTCATTCGACGAGTGCAGTTCGGTTTACAGCTCGGTCCCATCACCCCCACAAATCCAGAGAGTGCCGCCGGAGGTAATAAGTTCCCAGAATAGTTCACCAGCCCGCGAATAAAGCGTCCCTCGTCGACAGTTAATGACATCGTCGTTCATGATTTCACAAGCCATTTGTTTCCCAACACCCCAGGAGATGACAAGAGCCCGTACCTATTTCTCTGACCCTTCTCCTCAGGAAAACGTACGATACATCTGCCCTGACCAATTCCTTTCATCCCCCTGCTCTGTCCTCTGACCTCTGCTATCCTGTCCTCTTTCCTGGAAGCCACTCTTCCACATGGTCCGGGAGCGAATCACGCCGAGAAAGTCGATCGGGCCTCAGTACCTGGATGGCTTCCTTGACTCCGTCACCAGAATGAACGTGGAAGACCAGCTTCAGATGAGCGCCACCCAGATGAGCCCCAAAATGGAACTATTCATCGCCCGCATAGTGAGTGGCCAATATCGCGGCAGACCCGGTCTACAAATAGCCTGGTTAGGAGAGATATAGAGCGCGAGCTTAGCGAGAGCGTCCCCACTCGGCTAACAAACACTCCGATAAGGAATCGCTGGTGTTCGAGCCAAATCCCATCTGAAATGCCGTTCACGTTGTGCTGTGCTGCCTTTGAACGGAATCGGAAGTCAAATACTGCGCCGATGCTCGATTTACATTACAAAATGGCATAAAAAATGACCCAGAATACGGGTTATATGTAGAATACACCGCGGCACACCCCAAAGCTTTTACGGGCACATGAAGTGGGCTAGTAAGACCATAATCTGCTCTTTTTCTCCATCAGGCCAGATAAAAAGCCTATAAGAAGATAAACGGGCCCTGCTTATAGAGCTTCATGATTGAGGAGGCCTCTTGGCTCTCCACAGCATGTGATGATGATGATATATGCAAGCGTCGACGATAGGGAAGCTTCTGTGCGAGGATCCCACCCAATCAGCCAGAGTAGGGAGTATGCTGTACCGCTCAGCACGGGTGCATTGCGGGACAGTCTATACCCCAGCGGTCTGACTGCGGCGGACGGCCGCGGCCGGCCGAGAGGCGAGCTATCGGCACGGCTTCAGCTGTGAAATTAGCTAGTGGCCAGTTTGAGGGCAAACTAAGCCCATGGTAATTACTGTGTTTCTAAGAGCGTTTGATTTTCTATCCATGTTGAGGACTGAGGTTCAAATGCGGTTTAGCGGTTTCTCATGGGTTATAATTGAATTTATGCCAGTCAAAACAGTGCTCATTTGTGGTTCGCAATTCAAAGGAATCGACATATCTATCATTTCTTTTAGTTATCTTTACCCCTTGTTACCCAAACACAGCTGTTGATGTTCACAAAGATAAGTGCCGAGTGTTGTAGATTAGCCCCTGAACAGCACTGATGTCACTTTAACTCCTTTCCACGCCACACTACTGAACCAAGCTTACTTCACCTCACTGATTCAAACCCCAGCCAGCAAAGCATCACGAAGTGAACTGAGAACCAGAAGCACAACATCGAAACATTTTGTCTTCCATTTTATTTTCATTGCTATTCTCTCAAGTGCTTCTGTTCTTCTTCACTTGGTGATGCCGAGCTGCGCCGAACTTCACGTAGCAAAGTTACCTATCGACCGCCACCACCACCATGCTTCTGTAAGCGCCGCGGCGCTGTGCCGCGCGCCGGCCTCTGGCGTCTCGGTCCCGATCACCGTAGCTGGCTTCTCTCTGTCTGTGCCACTTGCGCCTGTGTCAGAAAAAGGACGCCCGGACGGGTACTGATGTGAGTAGCTCCCGGCCAGGCCCGGCCGTCCCTACCTAGCGGCACGCGCTCTCCGGCAGCAACTCGCACGCGGCTGCGTCGACTAGCACCAGTGCAGGGTCTGTGTATAGCCCGCCCTCTCCATCCGCTCGGTTGTAACCCGATTGTTACCTGCCCTCCGAGTGAAGCACAGTATATAGTGTATACTGGCACACCGTACGGATGTGTGTATGTCGGATAAAAAGTTTTCGAAGGTGATTTTTGTACGTTTGCCAAGTTCGCGGCAGGCGCTGTGCATGCTTTTCTCCAAGTTCAAAGTGTTTTCTATTCTCCATCGAGGCTGTTTTCTTCAAATCGAAGTTTTTCGTTGAAGTAGCATTACCAAATCCAAGGTTTTCAACAATGAGAATGGGTTTCATTTCGATATTCTTGCTCCTTCTCAAAGGAGCACTATTGAACGAAATAATTTCTTGAAGTGATAACTATATGGAAACAAAATATTTTTGCATTTTTGATATTGCCCTAACACCAACACCCTGCACGTTCAGTTTAACGCATGAGAAAACACCCTCAGAGCGTTTAAAGTTTTCCTAACCATACTTTTCTTCAACAGAGCAGCATTGACATTCATCTTAGTTACATTTGTCGATTTCCTACATTTTACAACGCTATTTTTGACAAGATTTAAAGAATTTATCAGTTATTTTTAAATCAATACCAGTCAGAGAAGATATTAATTAATTTGAAATAACATTCGGTCATCATAGTTGACATGATTTGCTTGAATCTCGGCAGGTCGTATTGCAAAACGGACAATTTGAAAATTTTGTAGTTATGGAATTCATGTAATGGCTCTGCACACTAAGTAGGCTATTAAATTTCATATTTTTGTAGCATTATTTGTTTGTCTAATGTGGTGTTTCAGGTACCCCGAAGGAACCATTTGGCTTATCGGATGGATAAGGATACATATATTACGAAAGATATTTTATTTGCAGTCTTCATGCAGAAATTTAACCCTCGTTTTTTGGGTTAAAACAAGCGACATGCGACGCTTGAATCTGCAACGCGCAAGTGATCACAATGAGCCATAACTTATCCCAAAAAAAAGTAATAGAAACTAAATGCTCCGTTAATTCATTTTCTAAACCGGTCCATTGGCGTGGAGTTGCCCATTTTTCTCTTTCTTCACCTGTTTAGTGTTTATGCATGTGTGACTCTGACGGTCATATGTAAATTCATAGGCTAGCATTTATATTGACCATAGTATTGTAGGCCTGTGTGTTTGTGTGTTGATGTGTGTATGTATGTGTGTTGATGAGTGTTTGTATGCGTGCGCATAGTGTATACTCACTGTAGAGGTATGTGTGTGCGTGTGCGTGTCAGTATCAGCGTTCGTGTTGCTCTCTGTCCGTGCCTGCGGGAGTTCCGATAACGTGCCTGGCGGCAATCAGGCGGCCCAGATCAATAACCAGTGTCGACGAAAAGGTGGTATCAGCGAGTCATTTCAGCCAATGCAGCGCCACATTAGTAGTCGCCTCAGAGTGCCTTCCAAAGTCCCCGCTGAAAGTGGTCTGTTCAGTTGGTAATCAGCGCAGCGTTGCCCTGCTAATGCTGCTATCAGCAGTGTCGCGCCGCCAGCAGCCGGCACTGAATTCACCCAATCTCTGCATGAGTGTCTAACTATCCGCCATCGTCGCTGCGCGCAGGTCAGACCGAACATGCCGCACAACTGGTCCGAGTGGGTGCTCAAGAAGCTGCACATCCCCAACGTCATGCAGCAAGACGTCCCCAACAAGCCGGTCGAGTATTTCACCTGTCCCTTCAAGAAGGCCAAGCTAGACAAGTGAGTTGGAAACCGTGCAGAGCTGCTGAGCCAGCTCTCGTTCGTTCCAGTAATGGGCCCGCCAGGGCATTGTCAGCGCAGGGCTCCATAAAGAACTGGTACCATTGTGACCTTTTGCTGCCGTATTATATTCCCGTAATTGACGCAGTCTGGCCTTGCACAAACGGTTGCCACAGTTCCCTTGCTCTATTTGGTCTATGACATTTGGTGACTATTTGTTTCCCTTTTACCGTTCCATGACTTTCTCTCGTTTCTTGTCTTTCTCCATGACCGATTTTCTACCTCCCACCAGTTCTCTCTCCCTCTCTCTCTCTCTCTCTCTCTCTCTCTCTCTCTCTCTCTCTCTCTCTCTCTCTCTCACTCTCTCTCTCGGTCTCTGGTAATTGACGTGGACCGGCATCTGGCGGCGCCAGCCGGCCCTGGTCCCTTTCCTCCATATACGGCCGGCCTCTGATAAATGCCCCGAGGCCATCCGCCGTGACCGGCTGCCGGTGACCGTCGCACAAAGGCCAGACCGGCGCGGTGGCAGCGCCCGCGGCCACAGCAGGGCGGTGGCCTCCGTCCGCTCCCCGCTGCACCATAGTTCCGATGGACTCCCTCCCTTCACCCGGATACACTGCTGATGGACAGCCTAACTCTACCTTGACGAGGGTCACAGGCGACAGGCGCACTGGCCAAACCCGCTCAAAATGGAACTTTTTAGTCATTATTATCGCCTTTATTTTCATTATTGATGAAACTAAGAATGATTAAATTTTCTACCCTTTTCACCTGTTGTTGGCGGGTAAAGTTAAATTGCATTTGCATTCTTGTATTTAAAAGCAAAATACCTTATGGACGTGAAATAGAAATAAGTGGTCAAAGCGCGAGAAGAGACGGGTGATGTAACAATCATTCAGCATAGGAACAAAAACGCACACACGTAGCAGCCTGCCATATCAAGGCAATATTTTATCAGAAAATTATCATTATTAATGCTTTGGACATAGGCCTATAGCGTATTCTGAGACCTGCTATATTATATAAACCTAGTTACTGGAATATTCTGATGTCACTTTAGTTTATCCGTGTCTGGTTGCAAGAAATGTTTAAAGTGAAGAGTCTCATAATAATCTCATTGTTTCACATCATTACATGCATTGTTCTCCGTTAGGTTTCTGGGCAGCGAGGACCAGGACAACTACTTCTCCACCGGTCAGCGGATCCGGATCGTCTACGAGATCCTGGCCACGTCCGTGTTCGGCAAACGGAAGCAGGGCGAAGTGGGCATCGAGCGTCTGGTGGACGAGGGCACCTACAACGCCGCCTTTCCGCTGCATGACGTAAGGCATCTGTCCGCGGCCGATCGGCACCATCCATCGATCCCGACTGATTGTCACGGGAGGCGTGAGGTGGCTGCGGAAGAAGCTGTCCCGGTGCGGGTGTATACACCCGCCGTCCGAAGAAATATCAACCCACATATATGTGGGTTGATATTTCTTCGGACGGTGGAGGCTGTCAGTGGATAATATTGGGGGGGGGGGGAGTCGAGTCATGTTTTACGGCTCATCGAAATATACCAGAGCAGCAAGTCTGTAACATTGCTAAGTGTTATCATCTTACCGTTTGTAATTTAAATGCTGCCTCATGTCTTCAAAATCATATTTTATTTCACCAAAGAAAAAAAAACAAGAAGAGCAATTTAAAATTAATCCTAATTTCCTCAAAATGCCTTGAGCTTTCATCGCCAAAACAGCGAATCTGTCCACCTTCTGCCCCTCACAATCGTCAGTACTGGCGTGATTTCAGGGCGACTTCAAGGTCCCTAAGGACCCGGACCTCGACCACAGCCGCCTGAACGCCCGTCAAATACTGCACGAGTACTGGGGGCGGTACTCGCGGTGGTACAAGTACCAGCCGCTCGACCATATCCGAGAGTACTTTGGCGAGAAGATCGGCATCTACTTCGCCTGGCTAGGTCAGCAATGATTGATACCAGTTCAGCGCTAGCTCTCAACCGTTTTATTAAGTTTTATTTTTGCTTATTGTGTCGGGTTTCTCGAGTGAAACGTTTTGTGGTGCATTTGTGGAGCTGCAGCGTTTTGAAAATTACGTTTTGAACTGACATTCGGTCCGTCTGCCGCAGGTTTTTACACTGGCTGGCTGCTGCCTGCCGCTGTGATAGGGTTACTGGTGTTTATGTACGGTGTCATCACCATAAATCGAAACGATGTGGCGAACGAAATATGTGATAACCCAGGTGAGTCTTGTTCTGACAGACTCTCATGCTTTTGTCATGTGTTGTTTCAGTATGTTTTATATAGCTAAATATCTGAACTTAAAACCCAATTATCTTTTGGCGTGCTGGCTGGTTGCGATAATTATTGATGACAATTCCTCTTGGCCCCTCTGCAGGCCAGTTCAAGATGTGTCCACTGTGTGATTACTGCAACTACTGGTACTTGGACACCATCTGCGCCTACGCCAAGATCGCCTACCTGTTCGACCACCCGGGAACTGTGTTCTACAGCGTGTTCGTCTCGTTCTGGGGTGAGTCCATCGCTCTTATAACTTCGCTTGCTACCCACACTTTACTCAGCCAGTGACAGGCACCGCCTAGCCCTCCCACTCCAAATTATCGTATATCCCATAATTACTTCAGTTTTGCTTGGCTTCACCTGAAGCCCTAATCACTAGTCAGTTTTAAATATCAATCCTGATTTCCGATGTTCGATAGCGACATCGCTGATTCACCTGACAGCGGCAGCTCTATATAAACAATGCCCACTGTTACACGTCCCATACGGACCGCCCCGGACGGTATGGTGGTGTGGTCGGTGCGCCTCGGTCGCAGGTGTGTCGCTCAGGTGGCTCTGTTTCTCCGGAGCAGATAACGGCCGACCACAGCTGGGCGATGGCACCTGTGGGTCACAGACCACCCCCGGCAGTCGCCACTTGTCCATAGCGCTCGCGGAACTGGCACAGCGGGACACTAGCTGTGGAGAGAGAGAGAGAGAGAGAGAGAGAGAGAGAGAGAGAGAGAGAGAGAGAGAGAGAGAGAGAGAGAGAGAGAGAGAGAGAGAGAGAGAGAGAGAGGTGGGGGAGGGAGAGGGAGAGTGATGTTGTATCATGATGCATCATGCAGTGAATGATCCCTTTAGCTCGCGAGTTGCTGCTTCACCGGGTTTTCTCTCATTCACAACCCTTTGCGATATCCAATAAAAAATAATGTAATAGCGTCCGTCCAGCTTTCAGTGCATTCTTTATCAAGCTTCCGCATGATGTACAAGTTGCATCAGGCTCCAAAGGTCGACCATCAATGACGCTAGATTGGCCAGATGTTCGTCTGTCTGCCGGCCTCGAAAATATTGCCATTTATATTTGCCGAAGATATTTGCTAACCTTGAAGACATTGCTCACACCGTTCATGTCGAAAGGGAGTTTGGAAGCAATATTTAAGTAGTTTTACTTTAAATGACCTTGTGATAAATCAGCGAAACTTTTTAAATGCCTAAACCTCCGGTCAGCTGTCTCGCGTACTACCTATTTTCCGTTCTTTTAACCATTATCTGGCCGTGTGCAAAGTCCTTTACCTACATAGTATAACCATTCTCTGATGATCATCTTGTGTTCCGTTTGATTGTTCTCAGACATAGCTAACGTACCTTGCATAGTTGTGTAGCTCGGTACCGGGCTCTTTTATCAGAAAGTGGAGGACCATGTCCAGAATGACCTTTTCGTTGCAGATCAAACTGGCTGGTGGTATCAACTATCAATGGCTGCAGCTGAAAAGAAGACCCTGAGTCCTTCCCTCTCACCCATCCCGTTTCTTACATAAAGCAGCGACCATTCAGCCCCAGCTGTTCAATCTCTGATCTAGCCGTTTCCCCGTGACCTGCAGCGGTGACGTTCCTCGAGTACTGGAAGCGCAAGTGTGCCACGCTCTCCCACCACTGGGACTGCATGGACTACCAGGAGGAGGAGGAGCGTAGAAAAACACAATTCTAAAGAATAGTGTTTTAACTATTGACAACAAACCTTCGGTTATGCATGCCGCGAGGTGTGCTCCTTATGCGCTCTGAGACGGGCGCTGTTGAACGACCCAACATGCATGCCGCGGGGTGTGCTCCTGATGCGCTCTGAGACGGGCGCTGTTGAACGACCCAACATGCATGCCGCGAGGTGTGCTCCTTGTGCGCTCTGAGACGGGCGCTGTTGAACCTTGATCCGTAAATTATTCATCCGTGTTTATTTATTTACCGATTAGATACTTCCCTTCTTCATTATTCGTTCACTGCCTCTATTAATCCTACATCCTCTCACAATTTCCCCCGGCCGCCAACCCGAATGCTGCGAGACGTAGCAAACACTATACAGTCCACACAAGAAAGCCAGAGACGTCCGCAACATCCAGAATGACCTTTTCGTTGCAGGTCAAACTGGCTGGTGGTATCAACTATCAATGGCTGCAGCTGAAAAGAAGACCCTGAGTCCTTCCCTCTCACCCATCCCGTTTCTTACAAAGCAGCGACCATTCAGCCCCAGCTGTTCAATCTCTGATCTAGCCGTTTCCCCGTGACCTGCAGCGGTGACGTTCCTCGAGTACTGGAAGCGCAAGTGTGCCACGCTCTCCCACCACTGGGACTGCATGGACTACCAGGAGGAGGAGGAACGGCCGCGGCCCGACTTCGCCGCGCGCGCACCCGCCTACGGCAAGAACCCCATCACGGGCCAGCGCGAGCCCACCTTCCCCCACGGCGTGAGGTTGAAGCGGATCGCTGCCGGCGCCGGCATCATCGTGCTCATGGTGAGAGCCTGCCGCCGCGACCGGGGTAGGCGGGCAGCGTAGGGGCCAATCTTAAATGCAGAACCACGCATAATACAAATGTAGATGTTCATTGTAGTGAGAAGACGCGGCTCGGTAATCTCGTCATGAATGAGAAAAGTAAATCAGGTGAACGAAATATTTAAAACCACACATTTTTACTCAATGACCAATGGTCAATGCTCGGGAAGGCTCGCACAAATGCACACATTCGCATATATGTACACTTGTTAGTGTTACATAATTTTATGATGGACCACAAACTATGCCAAAAGCTCATATTACCTGTTTCGTCTCAGACCGGGGGATGATAGAATTGCTATCCTCCCTGTTAGTGTTGACTGTTGACTCATAGGAAACTTTCAATTGTGGTTTATTTGAGAGTGCTATGGTGACGAGAAGATACCGAAATGTAGGTACATGGTTCTGTATTTCAGGGACAGTAATTTACCGTGCAATTTCAGCCCAACCGATTCGTTGAATTGTGTGTTAAATTTTCACAAAAGTAATCTCAAACGTGTTACAGCTTTGAAAAGTCTGCACTAGGCAACAGTTCTATGCTGTATAGTTATTAAAGCGTCACGGTCTTATTGATCTAACACTATTTTTACACCCACATCGCGTGCGACTTCGAACGCTATGTCTTCGCCTCGGTCGCCGCAGACTAAAGCGGCCGCATAAAGAATTCAGACCATCGGACATAACTGTGCTGCTTGTCGTACCTCTGCCCTGTCTAGCACACATCGATTGGAGTGCATTCTGCATGGAGCCGATTCTCGCATCACGCTTTAAGCAGGGTTTTGCGCCTGATTCCTGAGTCGTTTCAATTTGGAATACTCGTATATGTGGTGAATCAATTTAAATATGACGAAGATCACAGATAAGAACAAGGAAGGTAGAATATGTGTACGCTTTGTTGATTGCTTATTTGGATGAAAATGATTTTTCCCCAAACAGTTAGGTACATAAATATGTATACCCGGACCGTGTGAAGATGCATGACAAATGTTATGGAGCTTTTGTTGATGCTCGTTATATCGATTTTTAAATCACATTTGATGCGATGTTGCATTGCCCTGATTCAGTTGAAGTGGCAGTTGAGACGTGCCGCCGACCGGTGAGGTCCGCCTGGCTGTCCCCGGAGCGGTGGCGACTTGACCGGGCCCGCCGGTCGACCGCAATCGATCGCTGCTCCTCCGGGGACCCAGAATAGTGAACAACTTGACCGAAATTTTGATGAGCGCCGCCACCTTTTCAAAGTTCACAACGCCTTCTCGCCGCTTGGACAACCCAAAAGTTGTCTCCACTGACAGACCTGCTAACTTGGTCAGTCAAAAATTGCACAACTCAATCCCCCGAGTTTCGCACAGACAAATCAGGAACAAAGCCGACACATTAATAATTCAAACCAAGTTCCACCTCATCATTCATCAGCCCGTCTATCTCCACTGCTGACACGCTAAATGTCGTCTTTTTCCCGGCAGATGTCACTGGTAATCATCTTCATTGTGGCCGTCATCATCTACCGGGTGCTGGTCTCGATCCCGCTCTTCCAGAACCCGACGTTCCGCTCGCAGGCGCAGGCCATCAGCTCGCTATCGGGCGCCATCGTCAACTTGATCCTCATCATGTGCATGGGCCGCGTGTACGAGAAGCTCGCCTACCGGCTCACCGTCTGGGGTGCGTGACGTCAGCGGGGGGACTGGTGACGTCATCGGGTGCTGACCGGGGCGCGTGCTGGCGCGGCACAACGGCGGGCGAGCGATAGAGCGGGGCTTTGTCGGACGCGACGCTTTGTCGAAGAATCTGCCGCCGAATGCGGAGCTCCGTCAGCGATTTTTGGAACGGCTGAGTCGCTGATCATTTTCCGCGCTGGTTCCCGGATGGAATCATTATCAATAATACGAAATATATTTTAGATTATTGAAGATTGATTTGATTTTAGTTTTCTTTGTACGTTAGAATCAAATGGAATGCTTTTCGGTATTGTATGATTACAATGGAGTAAATCGAAATTTATTTTTGTAGGTACTTAACCTTCCTCAACTGCCTTCAAAAACTAAATCCATGTAAACACTGTGGTATAACGCGACCGTTCGCATAGAAGTTCGCATATAGTAACATTAATCGTGTGGCGTCGTCGTAGCCCGACGTGCTTAGCAATGCCCATTGCCTGGTTACATGGGTTAATTGATGAACGATAACGCCCGTACTATTTGTATATCAACTGGTGCTTTCAGAGCTTAGATCCCCTCAAACGCCACTAACATGTCCTTGCTTTAGGTATTGGCCTTCCAGCTAACAACCCCGCTTCGCTTTCCAGAGATGCATCGGACCCAGAGCGAGTTTGAGGATAACCTGACATTCAAAGTGTTTGTCTTCCAATTCATCAACTTTTATTCGTCCATCTTCTACATCGCCTTTTTCAAGGGTCGCTTCGTGGGCTACCCGGGCCACTACAACCATATCCTCGGGCTGCGAAACGAAGACGTGAGTGAGAAAAATCATCTGTTCCGTACGTCCTGTTAGTCGGAATTTATCCGACTTTTCATTTGAACTTCAGTCGATACGATATACGGGCCTTAATGTGAAAATAAACAGTTTTGGTCGTTCTTGGACCCAGCATCGTCATAATTTTAAAGATCGTATGATGCTACTCTCTCCAAAAAAGACGCGTGCCTGCTCATAATGTTGTGGTGGATCGGAATTATGGAAAACGCCTGAATGTATGCTGTGCCGCAACGCTTGCACAAATCATATTACGTTAGGCAAACACTTTGCATGATTAAGTTGAAAAATGTTACTATTATTTATTTAATAATGTAAAAAGAAACATCCGTAACAAGGCCTTCTGCGCAGTGTTCGCTGATAATTGTATCGAATCCGTCCTCTGATGGCGTTGTTATAAGTTCGTTTTTCTTAAGTTCGACCCTCACTGTAATCGTCTCTTTGAACACAGCACGAGAATTGCTAGCTGAATTGCTTAGAAAACTGGTTGGCGCACATTGATTTCACAGACGATTATTTTTACTCAAAATTATTTCTTCCTGGCAGTGGCGCAGCCAGAACTCTGGCGACGGGGGTGAGAGACGTTCGCGATGGGCCCCCCAGCAAAGTGGGCCCCCCTCAACCTAATGGGGGCTCCTTACCAACAACGAAAGTTAATATCATTGTCCTGATCATTAGCAGCCAAATCGGAGAAAAGGACAAATATCTCTTGATCTGAAGAGGCACATAAAAAACAACAGCATATTTACAGAAACACGACCATTCTGCCCATATTTGATGGACAGCGTGCAATTGATGGCCAGCGGCCACTCAAATGGTCGGGCTAGGTCAAAAAGCTTTTAAAAAGATCAACATCAGTTTTTCGACTATTATTTTGGATATAGGAGACGAGGTAGAGTAATGAAATTGTCTTGAAGGTGTTAAATCATCCATACGGATCAGTTGATGACCATCATGAACTTCTCAAGTAAGGGCATGACCTTGATCTGCGGTCACATTTTGAAGTTGAACTTTTTATGTGAAATTATAGGTGTTAACATTCGATGCATGTTAACGAGAGAATGATGACAAAGTAAATGTCTCATAATTTTTCTCACCAAAGTTCTTGCAAAAGTTTTTAGCAAAACTATTTTGGTAAAATGCGACTATTAAGATGGTTTTGCCCTCTGCTCTGTTGCCAAACCATTGACATGAGACTTTGAGGTCAAATCTTAAAAGCGAAAACGTTTTGAAAGGCCTATCGAATGAGTTGTTCCGCGAAGCTCTAGCTCTTTGGTTTACGAGTTATACGGTTATTTGTGAAAATATAAAAACTAGAATTTTTTCGTCGTAATCTTGTCTTTGTGTTTATCATAATTTTATCATAATTTCATCTTCAATGACCTCAGCGATGACCTAATCGGAAAATGACCTCTATGATTCTGAAGCATCCTACAGCTATCTGTTGCTTTTCTCGTCTTTCTAGCCTTCTTAAATTATGATCGGGTTTGGCCAATACGCCCCCCCCCCTGGCTGATTGCAGGCGTTAGAGAGCTATCGAACCCACTTTCAGCGCGCTATACCTTTATATGTATGTCCTCGAGTGTCGAAATAGGCGAAACTTTTCCTTCGATGAACATGATGACGTGGGCTTTGGTCTGAACTGCAACATGAGACTTTGCGACTAACCCGAAGCGTTTTTGGACATTTCTGAAGTGTTTCAGGCAGAACAGGGGCATGGCAGTGTTAGATGACCATGGCGTGAAGGTCGCGGATGACGTAGGCAGAGCCAACCTTCTAAACTCTACCTTTTCAAAAAAGTTTTCCAACCCGTTTTCCAACCCACGCATCATGGGCGCAAAATGACCTAAGTAGTCGGCGCGCCCTAAAGCCCCAATTAACAAACAAACAAACCAACCCACGCATCACCCATTTTCCAGTCATCTCGCAGGCCAGTCAGGACAATATCATGTCCTTCAACGTCTCGATGGAGACGGTGCGCGATCTCCTGAGAAACGTCCCAGTAGGTAAAGCATGTGGCCCAGATGGCCTGAGTGCCCGCCTACTGCGTGAGTGCTCCGACGAGCTTGCTGTCCCCCTATGTAAAATTTTCTCGTCTTCTCTGTCTTCCGGTATTTTCCCTGAACAGTGGGCTGAGGCAAACATTGTTCCGATATTCAAAAAAGGTTCTCGCAGTTCACCCGAAAATTATCGTTCAGTATCACTTCTCCCAATTTGTGCCAAAATCTTCGAAAAGGTAGTCGGTCAGCAACTCATGCATCATGTTCAGCCACTACTTTCGTCCTATCAGCATGGCTTTATGCCGGGCCGATCTTGCGCCACAAATCTGGCTACCTTTCTGTCCAGTGGATATGACGCAATATCTGAGGGTGTCCAACTTGATGCGGTATACACAGATTTTTCAAGTGCATTCCAGAGCGTTAACCATCGTCTTTTACTGTACAAACTGGAACACATGTATGGTGTGAGAGGGTTGGCTCTGAAGTGGCTGTCGTCATATTTAGGAAGGCGGAAGCAACGAGTTGTTTTAAACGGCAAGGTGTCAGAGTGGGCCCCAGTTGTCTCAGGAACGCCGGAGGGCGGTTTGCTCAGTCCGATGCTTTTTTCGCTCCTTGTGAACGACCTGCCATCTGTCGTCAAGACAGATTGCTTGATGTTTGCCGATGATTTGAAGATTTTTCAGAAAGTTAGAAATCACGATGATGTACAAAGGCTCCAGAACGATATTGATGCTGTAACGGAATGGGCGGCGGTCTGGGGGCTCAAGCTGAATCCCTCGAAGTGTAAAACTTTTAAAATCACGCTCAAAAGAGACATATATCCATCTGTGTATCAAATCAGTGGTAGCACTCTGCAGGAAGTGACTTCGATTCGTGATTTGGGTGTGGTACTTGACCAAAAACTTACTTTTGCAGACCATACAAATGTGATTGTTTCAAAGGCCAATCGGGCACTAGGGCTACTCATGCGGAGCCTCCAGGCGACCTCTCCGCGGTGCAAACTGGACAGGAGAGCAGTGTTCGCGGCATTCAATGCAAATGTTAGGGCCATCCTAGAGTACTGTTCTGTAGTTTGGGCCGGTGCTTCCAAGTGTCATCTCGTGCGTTTGGAACGTGTCCAACACAAGTTTTTGATTTGGCTGGCAAACATGACGAACGTTCACCATGACTCGATTGAATATCATTACCTGCTGAAGCTGTTCGACGTGAGATCGCTACATGCCAGGCGCATTGAGAGTGACATTATATTTTTGTGCAAGGTATTCAAAGGTTCGGTGTCATCCTCTCATCTTCTACGGTCGTTCTCGTTACACGCTCCGCTCAGAGCGACACGCAGCGCTGTGTCGACATTGTTCCATGTGCCGCGTGGGCGAGTGAACTGCATTGCAAACGGCCTGTTTACGCGCTGTCCTCGTGCCACCAACAAATTTCTGGAAGCCCAGCCTCAAACTGATGTGTTATGTGATCCTGTTGGAAGCATCAAGAGGCGCCTCGTCCTCTATACCGGATCCGTGAGACTCTAGGGCAATGTACATGAGAATACTGTTTTTATTATGATAGTTTATTTTGCATGTTTTTTTCGTATTTTATCTTTTGACTTCACCTATCATAGGGATCATGCCTGTTGGTGATATTATGCAATACAAGAATACAAGAATACAAGAATGACTGAAGTAATTTCTCCATGATTTTCGACGCTCTTTAGAAAGCCTCCTACCGCCGCACTTGTCGCTACGTGACCCTGGAGTCAGGTTAGAAGGGAATATTCAAACATCCCCTAGGGGCGTAAAACTGGAAAGCCTGGGGCCCTGCTCTGCGGGGCGCGGTCGAGCTAGGCTAGAGCCAGTTCGGGATGTTTACAAGCCCTCGTAAAGCTATCAAGAATCTGCATAGAGCACAGGCCTTCCAAGACTTGGGGGTTTAGCTATCAACAATCAACATGGTCTTTTGAGACCTGCGTGGTGGCTATCAGAGGTCGGTGGGCCCCTCAAAAGCCGGTGCAGGAGCCTCAGGTGTCAGTTTGGAGCCATCATGGACCGGTGTGGAGCCCTGATGAATACCTAGGCGTCAAACCCCTAGACGTCAGGGTGGGGCCGGGCGGTGAGGCAGGCTTAGGCCTGAAGAGAAGAGGAATTTTCAGATGTCGGCTTGGCATCTTAAGGGCCCTGCGTGGCTTTCTCAGAGGCTGACAAATCGTACTGCGGACCTCCATGAGCCTCAAAAACCTCTATGGGCCCCCTCACGCTTGGGGTAGGCTTCCTGAAGCATAAAATCTCTGAGTCTTGAGATGGGCCCATTAGACATGAACTGGGCCATCAATATACATGTGGTGAGTTGACCTATATCAAACATGATATCGGCTTAATCAGGATTGGGATAGGCCCTCTCAGACCCAGACCAGGCACGGAGTACGGACCCTCCCACACATAGGATGATTCTTTCATTCCTGGGATGAGTCTTCTCAGGCCTGAACTGGGCCCTCTCAGACCTGAAATGGGCCCCTCTCAGGCCTGAAATGGCCCTCTCAGGCCTGACATTAGCCCTCTCAGACCTGAAATGGGCCCCTCTCAGGCCTCAAACAGGACCTCAAGGGCCTGAAATGGGCCCTCTCAGGCCTGACATTAGCCCTCTCAGGCCTGACATTAGCCCTCTCAGACCTGAAATGGGCCCTCTCAGACCTGAAATGGGCCCCCTCAGCCCGGAAATGGTCCCTATCATGTCGAAAAAGGGCCCCTCATACCGTAACTGGGCCATCTCAGGTCTGAAATGGTGCCTCTTATGCCTGAAATGGGCCCCTCTCAGGCCTCAAACGGGCCCTCTCAGGCCTCAAACGGGCCCTCTCTGGCCTCAAACGGGCCCTCTCTGGCCTCAAACGGGCCCTCTCTGGCCTCGAACAGGCCCTCTCAAGCCTGAAATGGGCCCCTCAGGCCTGAAATGGGCCCCTCAGGCCTGAAATGGGCCCCTCTCAGGCCTGAACTGGGCCCCTCTCAGGCCTGAAATGGGCCCTATCAAGCCTGAAATGGACCCCTTCAGGCCTGAAATGGGCCCTCACAGGCATCAAATGGGCCCTCTCAGGCCTGAAATGGGCCCCTCTCAAGCCTCAAACAGGCCCTCTAGGGCCTGAAATGGGCCCTCTCAAGCTTCAACTGGGCCCTTTCAGGCCTGAAATGGGCCCTCACAGACCTGAAATGGGCGCTCTCAGGCCTGAAATGGCCCTCTCATGCCATGGAACGGGCCCTCCTATGCCTTGGATTAGGTTAATCGGGCCTTGGATGTACCCCCTTAAATCATAAAATGGGACTATAAATCCTAAAGGGGGGGGGGCCTATCAGGCCTGAAAACTGTTTTTCAGTCCTATGACGGACCTTGACATTAGAGATAAAAAATTGTCAGGCTGCATAACGTTACAGTTCGAATCGACGGTGGGCCCCTAGGATAAGAGACGGGGGTGAGATCTCACCCCTTTCACCCCCCCTGGCTGCGCCACTGCTTCCTGGTTCTTATTTCTTAGACACCTAGCTCGTATTTGCCTTTATATTACAACCCCACAGGGATAGACATCTTATCAAAAATTATAACTGAACTGATCAATAGATCGCACGGCATTAAACATAATGATATATCATCGGTGTTTAAAACTTATTTGGAAAATATTATTTATGTCTGCAGTACAATGTGCGCTAACCAGTTTTCTAAGTAATTCAGCCAGCAATTCTCGTGCTATGTTCAAAAAGATGTTTACAGTGAGGGTCGAACTTAGAAAAAACGAACTATACGCAGCTTCTATATGAACGTCGCTTTTGCCACAAATACCGGAGCAAGAAGCCTGACACGGCGATCAAAGAGCCGTTTATTACCAAGTTTAGCACCATTTTTAAGACCTTGTTAGCGCTTCTGCCAGTCCGGAATTCGGTGCAGAGCGCCGTTCGGGGGCCGGGGTTCCGGCTCGGCGGCGGTCGTGTTTCTTACCGACCGCGGACCTTGGGACCGACCGCGGCTCTGGCCGCAGAGCCGACTCGCAGGCTAATTCGATCACGCCCCTGCCCTAATGAGATAGCGGGATGAGGAACGGCCGTCGCGCGCGGCAGCAGACGTCCTGCTCTTCCACTCTCCCTCCCATCACACTCCTGCCACTCTGCCTACTACATCAGGCCGTCGGTTATATCTTGAGACGCACGTGCCACAAGGGACGTCTTGCGTGATAATCTAACGAAGAAACCAATAGCAATTAGCAGCTTTTGTGTGAACACTAAACAACGTTCACGGCAAGAGTTAACTCATAACGTAATGTATCAGTCACCCGTTAGCTGCGCTGTGTCCATACGCATATACAACGCTTAGTGTGCAGTGTGCATAATTATCCGTTTAGCGTTGTATGCCACTTATCCATTTACTTAGACAAGGACATTGCGTGCTGGAAGTCCAGGATGCATGTCAGGTAACGTAGCGGATCATTAGTCTGAGGAATCCAGCACAACGTGTTGTAGAAAATAACTTTTGCGCAAGGAGGTTAACAAAGAATGTCTTACATATAGCAACTCTTAACCCTCGCCCGCACATGGGGGGTGGTTGCCACCCCCCAGGCAGTCTTTCTGCTCTGCACTCAACATTTTTAGAGCTAGAAGGCTGATTTTTCGTATAGCTGCTCATCTATCCTTTCTTGATGTCCACTGAAAATTTCAAGTTTCTGTGATTTTTGGTTTCGGAGATATGACCTTGTTTTTCAGGTCATGTCATGACCCAAATGGCCAATTCTCAACATCTTGCGTTTGCCATGGGCCTTGTGAGCTTTTGACACCCCGATTTCGGCCTTTTTTGCCAGTCTTACCTCCCACCTATCATGGAACATGTTGTTCGACGATGTACAGGGGTCAAGGTCAGGGTCAAGGTCAACCTAGGTCATCTAAGATAATTGCGTTTTAGGCAAGCTGAATTTACTTTTTGTGAAGTTTTTTGACTGCATTTTTGGTAAAAGCTTCTCAGATCATGATTTCATGAGATATGGACCCAAAAACAATCGGTGCACACATCAGTATACACACAGACACACACAGACATACAAACACATATAATTGACCTTGACCTAACTTGACCTGAAATGACCTCAGCAGCAAAATTCTGGTCGGATAGTGTGACAAAGAGGTTCTAGCTGGCTTGGCACCAGAAAACAGCATCGTCATCGGTATTTGATAAGCAGCGCACTTGATATCCAACGGTGACCCAAAACAGCAACATTTTTTTAGTTTGACCTGACCTGGAAGGTCAATGACTGACCTGAGAAGGTAAAACTGGGTATCATTGGATTCGTCTCTTCCCAAAGAATCTTTTTGGTCTTTACTGCTAAGCTCTATCTCCAACAGGAACGAAATGGCGCGGGGGGGTGGCAACCCCCCCCCCCCCATGTGCGTTCTAGGATGGGAAAATGGCATGTGCGGGCGAGGGTTAAGAAGGTTATTAAAACTCGTATTAAAAGTCCCACCCTCGACTCAAATGCATTTCAAATGGCAATCAGAGCACCCAAGTCGCTCGTGAGCTGACCATGAGACGCGGTTCCCCAGTGCGCCGCGGGCGGCTGCCTGGTGGAGTTGGCACAGCAGTTGGCGGTCATCATGATCGGCAAACAGATGGTCAACAACGCCCAGGAGATCATCCTGCCCAAGCTGAAGGCCTTCTGGCAGAACCGCGGCGTCAAGGGCATGAGCGGCGCGTGCAGCAAGACCCGCTGGGAGGAGGACTACCAGCTCATCGACTCCGAGGGCCTCTTCCAGGAGTACCTGGAAATGGGTACGGTGCTTTGGGTTGGAGAGAGTGCATGATTTGTCAGCTTTTGGTACTTGAAATCCTGAACTTAGTACAGAGAAGCTTTTTTTTAAGTGAACGGCATACCTTGAAAATTGAAATCGGAAGTTTTTAATTCTGGGTTCGCATATGAACATATATTGCGTAAATTATTGCATGTACCGTACAGTAATCGTGTTGAAACAAGTTCTTGCAATTACGATCTTATAAAAGTGCTTTACCCAACTCTGCATAATGCGCATGTCGTCAAATTAAAACGCTTCGTCACCAACTTCCATTGCACAGTGCTTCAGTTCGGCTTCATCACCATTTTCGTGGCGGCGTTCCCGCTGGCGCCGCTGTTCGCGCTGCTCAACAACTGGGTGGAGATCCGGCTGGACGCGCAAAAGTTCCTCTGCGAGACGCGCCGGCCGGTCCCCGAGCGGTGCGCCAACATCGGCATCTGGTTCACCATCCTCGAGACGCTGGCCCACCTTGCCGTCATCAGCAATGTGAGATAGCCGACCGAACTGTGTTGGGGCAAATATATTCTTTTTACTTTCCAAAATTTTCATTTTATGCTAGATCATGGGATATGCTGAATTGCAGAGCAGAGATTGCAGAGCGATCTCTTCCATAAAGTGCATTAGATTAGAGTCATTTTTATCATTTGTTGACGTTGATTCTTGTCTGCTGATGTCGTTGCAACATGTCCGGCATTTCAGGCCTTCTTGATTGCCTTCACGTCTGAGTTCCTGCCCAAGATGCTGTATCAGTACGAGATGCACTGGCACCTGGAGGGCTACGTCAACTTCACCATGGCGTACGCACCCAACAGCTCGGACCCCGACGTCAAGGGCGACTGCAGGTAAACACTAAACGGCATCGCATTTTCAGCTACGTTGGTAGGAGATGGCGTTCTAACTATGTAACTTATGGGAGTTAAATTAAAGTGCATGGTTTTGAATGAAATGATGTGATCACTGATCATGCAGACGTGTCCTAGAAAGTCAATAGTCATGCTTATCTGCTACAATGCTGCGTACTAATTACCAAACCTCTACACACATATCCTTTGTTCTCTTTTACCGGGATGCCGTATATGTTAGACTCCTATCGGCTAGTCAACGAGCTGATTGACCAACCATCGACAGGTACCGAGGCTTCCGAGACGAGAACGGCAAGTTCACCACCTTCTACTGGCGGCTGCTGGCCGTGCGTCTCGGCTTCGTCATCCTCTTCGAGCACGTCGTCTTCTTCATCTGCAAGATGATCGACTTGGTGGTGCCGGACGTTCCCGAGAGCCTCAACATGAAGATCAAGCGGGAGCGCTACTTGGCCAAACAGGCGCTGGCGGATGCGAGCGCTATAGGAACGGTGAGCGAGGGAGGGAGGGAGGGAGGGGGGAGAAGGAGGGGGAGAAGGAGAGAGAGAGAGAGAGAGAGAGAGAGAGAGAGAGAGAGAGAGAGAGAGAGAGAGAGAGAGAGAGAGAGAGAGAGCGAGAGAGAGAGATAGGGAGAGAGAGAGAAGAGAGAGAGAGAGAGAGAGAGAGAGAGAGAGAGAGAGAGAGAAAAAAAAAAAAGAAGAGAGAGACTGATAGTGGGAAAGAGAAAAAGTAGGTAAGAAAGAGAGGGGCAGGAGAGCACTATGAGAAAAAAGAATGAGGATGTTAGAAAAAAGCGGAAGTTGCGGCCAGTGGCGTATCCAGGGGGGAGGCCAAGAGGCCATGGCTCCCCCTTTGGGATCAGACTTGCAAGTGGGCCCTTTGGGTCACTTGAGTGCAGTGACGTACCCAAGAGGGCCTCGGGTGCCTGAGGTCCAAGGATAACTCAGGGGGACCAGTGTGACGAAGGCGTTTTGGGTCTCCGCCCCCAGAATGGCGGGGTCTCCCTGTCTTAATTCCAGTACCAGACAGAGCGTCTTTTACTCGTAAGAAAAACCAATATCAAAGAGCGATATCTATCACAGTGACGAACACAGAGGGCCCCTAACTACCTGAGAGCCCCTGACTACCTGAGGGGCCCCTGGTTACCTGAGGGTCCCCCTGGTCACCTGAGGAGCCCCTGGTTATCTGACGAGCCCCTAGTTACCTGAGGGGCCCTGGTTATCTGAGGGGCCCCTGGTTATCTGAGAGGTTCCTGGTTGTCTAAGGACCCCTGGCTATCCGAGGGGCCCCTGGTCACCTGAGGGGCCCCTGGTTGTCTGAGGGGCCCTGGTTACCTGAGGGTCCCTGGTCACGGGACCCTTGTTTACCTGAGGGGCCCCTGGTTACCTGAGGGACCCCTGGTTATCTAAAGGACTCCTGGTAAGGGACCCCTGGTTACGAGGGCCCCTGGCTACCTGAGGGGCCCCTGGTTATCCGAGGGGCCTCTGGTTACCTGAGGGGCTCCTGGTTATCTGAGGGGCCCCTAGTTACCCATGGGCCCCTGACCCCTGTATGGCCCCTGGCCAGTCATCTGATGAAGTTCTGGTCACCTGAGGGGCCATGCTTACCCGGGGAGTACCTCCTGCAGTCACATGAAGGCCCTTAGTTTCCCGAGGAGCCCCTGGTATAACCGGCCCCTGATTATCAGAGGGTCCCCTGGTCACGGTAGCCTGGTGGGCCCCTGATCAATTGAAAAGCCCCTGCAGTCACCTGAGAGGCCCCTGATTACCTAAAGGGCCCCTGATCACTTGGATTCAATGGCATAGCCAGGGGCGAGGGGACACGTGTCCGTTATATGGTTTAGGGTCCCCTCGGGCCGGAGGGGCCCTACGGTGCCAATTGACATCAGAGGGTCCGCGCTGGCCACGGTTCAACTGGAAAGGAGTGAAAGGACACCACAGGGCTTTTGAGAACACGCCATGGGCTCTTATGTAGCCACACTTATCTCCAGAAGGGCCTCACCCCAGGTTCTGAAGGACCTTGCCGGCCTCTGAGGGTCCTTGAAGGCTAATGAGAGATCAGCTGTAAGGGCCCCACACCTGTTTGTTATGCCACACGGCCCACACCATTGTTTCTGAGGGGCCTCAGAATGGCGCCTGGGAGGGCCCTAACCGCCACCTCTAAGGTTCCCACACCAGCGCCTCTTAACGGCCTACATCGGCGGCTCTGAAGGCCCGCTCACCGGCGCCTCCGAGGGCCCTATACCAGCGCATCTGACGGCCACTTACCAGCGACTCAGAGGGCCTCTTACCGGCATCTGAGGTTCCCTTGCCGGCCTATGAAGGGCCACTAGTAACTTTCAGGGCCCCTTACATGCCTATGACGACCCCTACCAGCGTCTCTAAGCCCTAAGGCCCCACAACGGCGCCTGTGTGGACCCCGCACCAGCGCATCTGACGGCCTTTCACAGACACGTCTGAGGGACCAACACCGGCGACTCTGAGCGGCTCGCTCGCTTCGCTTCTTCATAAAAGACCGTGCATTTTATGCACATTGCTCAGGCAAAATGATACTTTACCTGCCAATTTTCCACATTTTCTCAGGGCCTAGACAGACAGACAGACAGGCAAACAGTGAGACAGACAGACAGAGGGGCCTGTCCGCAAGGGGACCGGACTCACTGTGCCCAATCCCCCCCCCCATCGAAATGTTCTAGATACGTCCCTGCCTGGGTTGTCAGTGTCCCCCAGGTAACCCGGGGCCCTTCGAGAGCAGGTTGCCCCCTTCTGGGCGAAATTCTGGATGTCCGTGCATGCTTGGGTGTCCCAAGAGAAACGACCTTCAGGGCCTTATCCGAAGTACTGGCCCAAACTTAAATAAAGTCATTAGGCATTAAATCCTTAAATAAAGTCAACTACGTCAAACTATTTTAATTTTGCCGTTTGATGGCCCTCAGAGGCCGGCGTAGGGCCCTCATAGGCCGTCTTAGGGCCATCAGAGGCTGAGGCTGAGCCCCAGAGGCTAGCGTTGAGGCCCTCAGAGGCCGCTTCGGCGGTCCTCCAGAAGCTTAGACTTGGGCGTGGGTGGGACCCTTTGACGCTGGCGTGGAACCCTAAGGAGCCAGCGCGCAGCCCTCTAAGGCCAGCCGTGGAGCCCTCTAAGGCTAGCGTGGGGCTCTCTAAGTCCATTGTGGGGCTTTCTGAGGACAGTGTTGGCCGTTGGGCCTTCTAAGGCCAGTGTGGGACCCTCATGTTCAGTGTAGGGCTGTCTATGTCCAGCTTGGGGTCTACAAAGCCCAGCGGCGTGGGGCCTTCTGAAGTCAGTTTGAGGCCCACCGGCCACTGAGACCAGCTTGGGCCCTCTGAAGATAATGTGGAGCCCACTGAGGCCAGTGTGAGGCCCTCTGTGACCAGCGTGTGCCCTCTAAGGCCAGCGTGGGGCCAGCTGTCATCTGACTTCAGACGCTGGTGCTGGGCCCTCAGAAGCCAGCACGGGGCCTTCATAGACTGGCGTCGGGCCATTAAAGCCACTTCGAGGGCCTCGGCAGCCATACTTCAGATCTTATGCATGTTTGAGTTCCCTGAGGTAGGAGCTTGGCCCTTAGAAGCCGGCGCGGAACCCTCAGAGGGCATCATGGGCTTCTAGAGACCGGCGTGGGTTCGAGAGCGGCATAGGGCCATTAGACTGACTCAAAGGCTCCAAAGAGCCAGCGTGGGGTCCTGGGAGGTCAGCATGGGTCTCCTGAGGCCATTATGGGGCCGGCTGAGGCCAGAGTCGTTCACTCTGTTGCCGAAGAGAGGCTTTCAGAGGCCAGAATGAGCCTTCAGAGTTTTTAGATTGCCAAGCGTGCCTAAAAAGGCTCCCTCACATGGCGAAAGTGGCAAAAAACCGCACCTGTGCGTGGGTTAAGTATTCTACCACTGGGGCCCTCAGGTAAGGGTGGGGCCCCTTGAGTAGGTTTGGCCTCCCCCTTTTCAAGATCCTGGATACGCCACTGGTTGCGGCAACGACCTCCATTAGTGACAGCGGCTCATGTTCGCACAATAATAGTCGTAAGGTCGGAAGCGTTAGAGGACAAATCAATATCGGCCGGCACTAAGAATGCCGGGGTGTTGTTGGCACCCGAGTGGCCGCGACATTCCTGAGGTGATGGCGTTCCTGCCAGGAATCTCCATGTGCTGTCCGAACCATTGTGGATGGACCCCGGCAGGTAGCCAATATCATAGAGATCTGTATATCAGGTCTCTTTGGCTGAAATAGAGTGAGGTGGTGGCGGTAGCGATGGCGACTGCACCACCAACGTTATGAAATAGGAAATTATAGCACCTTCCATGTCCATGAAATGGAAGCGGTCGGAGCCCATATTATGGTGGACGTGTGGCGAATGAATAAGGAATGATGACATGTTGTGCATTATTAATGGCTGCGAAACAATGCCGCGCCATTCATATCAATATTGATATCTAGGAAATGGTTAAATGTAGGGGTTCTAGTTCACTTCCGCCATGTTCCTGTAAAGATTCTGCTTGGCGGACTGGCCCTGTTTTACTGTGCGCCGAGCTCGGGGCCCTGTGACCTGTCAGCGTTTCTCGTTCCCTCACTGGACGCCTGTCATTGTTTTCCGTCCCATCACCGGACGCCTGTTCCGCAGGGCGGCGGAGACGAGGAGAAGGACGAGCTGACAGAGCCGCCGGCCGACACCCTCGTCTACCTGCCCGGCCAGGCGGAGGACGGCGTGCGCACCGCGTTATGACGAATGGACAACGGGCAGCCGCCCTCCTGACATCGCGAAACGCTCGTCTGACCCTGGGCCGGGCCGGCCGGGCGCCCCTGCCGCCGGGCCTGGGTGCGCCCCTGCCGCCGCCCGGTCAGCCGGTCGCGACCCTGCCCGGCGGCGTTTTATGCCGTGGCGGCCCGGCCGACCCTTCCGCCCGGGTCAGGAGCACCTCGCTGCCTTGCGCCGCTCGGACGGCTGGCTGAGAGGCCGTAATATTGCTGAACTGTGTTGGACCTGTAGTGCGTGTGTGCCCGCCAGGATCTTTTGCAGATGGCACTGGTGAAGCGATATCATTGGGCCATTGTTCCGGCTAGGCTGCTTCCGCCAGGGCCACTTGTGTCGTATCGAGAGGTATTGTTGTGTATTGTGCCAGAAAGACTGGCTTCGTTACCCGGATATTCCGGAGAGTGCAGTGGTTGAGGACAGTGTGACTCTTTGCCACCAATTTATTTTTATCGATACATTCCATGAACTACGATTTTCAGTTGGAGATTAGGTGTATCATGCTTTAACATTCTGTTAAAATCAGGGATAATGTGTGACTAGCGTCATCGGAGTGCTGTGTTTAAGTGCTTTAACTATTTTGTGTTGGTTTGTTTTTAGTCCTGAATGAGATTTAATGATGATAGGTATTAGTTTGGAATTTGGTAACATCCGCTCAGCCGTTGGGATTTTTGTTTGTTTTTATTGATCGTTATCTAAATATCTATGGAATGTAAATCGTGCCTACACTAGAAAGAAAACCCGCAAGACAATGATAGCAGCTTAACCTTATGCTTATTGCTGTATCAGGTTTTCAAGGATTTGCTGATCGTCTTGGTACAACATCCGAATATCACTTAATCAAAGGATTTATGATATCAACAGTGCTTATAGGTCGTACTTGTGCGATAATTCGGTACGTTTGATTCAATGGTAGCCTCATCAGCAGTGTTTTTGCCGTCCAATATCGTCCGACTTATGTAGATCTGAAGATAGCGTTGTTGTGAAGATAAATGACATGAATATGAATGCAGCTACACTTTTGTTAACACAGAATGTGTATAATTCATTGTTATACAAAGCGGTTAATATTCGTTTCACAGTCATTTGAAGCGCAGATTCATTTAATTCAAGCTTAGACAACTTGAGTTTGTTACGTTGCCTTACAGTATGTGTAGTTATTGCGTACCTAGTACCTACAACGAATCATAATCCGACTGATATTCCTAGTCAAATTAGTCAAAAACGCTCGAACTGAAACGCCAGTCGAGAGCAGTTTGCTTAGCGTAAGATATGTTATGCTATTAGCTTAGCACAATCGGCCAAGTTCCATGACAGTCAATCTTTTTTCTTTGTAAACAATAGTGCGCGATTCGGTATGACAAAAGCTTTGTTTTGTCCACTGACGACGTGAAGGATTACTTCTTCACACTGCAAGGCTTTGCTGTCAACATCAGTTTTTCCCATTTTCCCGTTTTTCAGCTGCCGTTTTTCACGTGATTTCAACGCATCTATAAAGAAAAATAGTGAGGAGATAATTATAACGAGGAGATAATTGTTATTGGACAGTGAAGGCTCCTGAATGTATTATCTTAGCTCAGTCTATAGATAATAAAAGCACTACAGGTATATTCCACTCTTAAATTTCTATTGCATAACGTCCATACCTACCATTGACATTTTATTTTATTTCCTTTTCTAATAATCGTCTCTGCTTGAAAGGTAATTTACTTCATAGGCAAACAAGAATACATAGATGGCAGTTTGCTGCTGATTTCGGAAACAGGAGAAACATAGGTATGCAGATTACTAACTTCAATATTATGCAATGATACTCGTGCCATGATAAGCTAAAATACGGATGGCCGATTTATTGATCCAAGTGGCGCATAAGGGCAAAGCGGAAGAAAGACGGTTACATATCCCTTTAAACACATCTTGTCTCTATAATGAATTGAATACATATTTAGGGATATTTAGCTGCTGCTGCTAATTACTTAGCAGGGACTTCAATGTGGCGCCGTTTGTAGATACAATGTCTGCTGATTGCGATTAATTAGCACTTAGCAGTGTGCACTAGCGCGTGATGCTAATCTGAGCAAGACATCTATCCATCTTTGCGTAAATATTTTCGAATTGCAATGCTCATCCGATTCTCACTCCAACAACTGAATAGAATCAATCGATGAGTTGATGAACTCATGTAGTTTGTAATTGGCATAGACAGGTATAATGCTCGTCTTTGACCCCATTCTGATGTGTACTCATTTTAGTTTAAAGGGTAGATGTGATAGCTTGGTGAAAGGCACTATAATATATTTTTCCACAAAATGTGTTTGAACAATTGTGTGATAACACCGTTGAAACAATATTTTGCAGTGTAATCTGATTGAAGCCCGCTGCTGCCACCTCGTTGTTTTACGCTCTCTAGACTAGTCGTAAGTACCTACTAAAACATATGCCCGCCAGTTTAAAGAAAATTCACAAGGAAAATTGCTACATTGCGTAGGTCAGATTCAACGAATACATTGATGCGATGCCAACATTATGATTAATTTACATCTGGCCAACAGCAAACAGTTGTTAGCAGTCTTACCGGGTACAATCTCCCAGCTCGCACTTCCCAAACGCTGCCCGTCATGACACTTCGTCAAGATCAGACTCTCTTCCAGAATCCGGTTCGACTGTCTCTTGATAACTTGTTCCTTCTTGATCGTCATCCAATGATTTCCACGAGCTAGTAACCATTGCCTGAACGTGGCGAGCGTATTCTTTCTTGTCCGTTTGATATAATTGAGCTGCGTATGCATTGGCTGGAGAGTTTGGGTTCGGCTCATTTAGCAGAGACTGAATTGATGTCAGGATAGACGCAACGTCGTAGACTGGACTCCAGCGACCTTGCAATATATCGAGACAAATTGAACCATCTGCATAAACATTTGGGTGGAAAAGTTTTGACATGAATCGAACATCTGGTGGCTTGTGAGGATATTCTTCGGTGAATTGTAGCTTGAGGCGAAACGTTCCGTCTTCGAAAGGGGTGTCTGGTGGTCCAAAAATAATTGCGTCCCATATCATAAAATCATCACCCACTGGAGACGCGCTGACACCATCCGGCGGTTCCATTTGAAGACGTTTAAGGTCGAGCATTAGTCGCCGTCGAGCAGGACTAGTCACCGACATATCGTGGTATTGGTCATGCGCGATAATTTAGCTGACCGTCGTCAGGCACCTCGAATTCAAAATAAAGACGGCCACTGAATCGTCTCTGTATTTTATAGAAAAGTCACCTTAAAATTTTATGTGTTTCTCAGCATAGATACACGTTTTTCACTCCTGAATTTTGTACAATTATGACGCTTAACAAGATGCCTCTATGTCAAATTTTGTTAATATCACGCGGCAATATCTGCATGGGTCCTCGACTCCTCATGCAAGAAAGTTAGTCTTAACGTTGTAAAAAGGACAGGCCCGCGTTCCTGGCCAGGAACCCCCTGGCCAGGGACGCGATAACTTTTTAGAGTTATGGGGCGAATCCAAGGGTGGGTCTAGCCGCACGCTTTGAGTCCGCAACCTGGACACCAAAAAGCTGTTAAAGGGGAGGGGGCGTCTGATATATTATGCCTTTTAATACAAGGTGCTATCTGAAGGATCGAATGGTAGCCTCGGTTCCCTTCACCTACAACTCTATTTGAGGCATCACATACAGGTGTATGGGGCAGTGACTAAAAAGGAATGACAGTTTTGGGAGAAGTTCCCTTCGCCACCATCTTTATCCGTTCGCGTGTTTCGTAACATGCCTTTCTATGCGTATGTAAGTATATATAGTCGACTACAGAATGATGTTCCACTCCTCAGAAGCTATCAGTTGACCGGAGCGCTAAGTTGTGCCGTTTATCACGCAATTAAGCGTGTCGATTGTGAGCATTGGGACAAAGCTATAATTTGTGGACTCAGTCCGTGTGATGCGGCACAGCCTACCACTCCAGGCAAATAATTGCCTGTGAAAAGTGGAACATCATTCTGTAGTCGACTATACCTATCTTTATGAGGCGCGCGCTTCAATGCTGTTAGCTGTCGTGAGATACATTCATATGTATATTGATTTAGGGTGTAAAACGAACATCTCAACTCAAGACGGGACGAAAGTCCGACAACTAATATCAAGGGCAATTGGAGGAAATTGAAATGCGTTTTGTTCTGGACAGACTCCATTCTGAACACTTTCAAACACATATTAACAATTCTATAAGACACTTTAAACTGAAAAATGGTACCCGTGATCCTTTTTTATATCTCTGAGGCCATCTTAGGTCGTCGTAGGCTGTAAGAAGCCCAACAGTTTTTCGCTAATAACTTCTGGTAGGCGCATGCTAAAGCGATGGTAGCCGTTTTTACGACGGTCATCTGTTACACGTTTGGTGCACGTTTGGTGCAGATTAGGTGCATATTTGGTCAAATTAGGTTCGGTGTTTTTTTGTGAAAAAAAACGTTAATATATTAACGTTTAAAAAAAAAACACACACAAAACGCATTTCAATTTCCTCCAATTACCCTTGATATTAGTTCGCTTCCGTCCCCGTCTTGAGTTGAGATGTTCGTTTTACATCGTTTCGCCCAGTCACCTACTTCTCCGGCCGTCGTCAGGCGTTCTTTGGTCCTTAGAAGGACCTTAGTGTTTGTAGGATTGTGCCGTACGCGTCATACTTATTCGGAAGCTACTGTGCTTAGCGGGAATTGAACTTTGGTTTCCCGTTGATAATTAGGTTGCGGTTCTAACCGCTCCACTATCGAGGCCACTATGTCGGCCTCTATGGTGGAATAGTTACAACCGTGGCTTTACCACCAGGAAAACCCGAGATCATTTCCCGCTGACCACAGGAGCTTTCGATAAGGTATGACGAGTGCATGACGAAACTTTTTCTTTTCCTGCGCGCCTGCCCAATGGAATCGCGCCCCTGCCGGTGTGAGAGGGGCTCGCTCAGCGGCGCTGTGTCGCAAAAGAGCGAAAGACTGGCTGGAGGGAACGCGACTGATAGATGTGTCACTAATGTACATTACGTATACTTTGTGGCATGGGTGGAGCTTTTCCAGGGAAGTTGGTGGGGCAAAATGTCGTCAAACCCACAATGTCCGATTATGATGTTGAATAAAATGCCACACTGAATCAATTCCTATCATTACAGATATTATATGTTGCATTAAACAGACACTCCAAAGCCTTTCAGTGCGAAAAAGATTAATTTGCAAAACAACAAAGTCTTAGAAATCAGCTTAAGTTGGTGGGGCAGAACACTTATTGGTGGGGCAAAACACGAAGTTGGTGGGGCAGCTGCCCCACCAACTGTATGCATAGGAAGCTACGCCCCTGCTTTGTGGCTTCGTATGGGTATTGTGCACTTACATAAGCGTTACTACTAGCTTTCGTATGTGTATTATATATTTGTATGTATTTACTTTAGCACCCGAAAAGCCATTTACCATGGATGGACATAAGAATAAATGATGAGGAGGAGGAGGAAGACGCTTACGGCGCAACTCTACAAACAGGTCTTTCTAAGGACCAAAGAACGCCTGACGGCGGCCGGAGAAGAGACTGGCCGAAACGTTGTAAAACATCCCAACTCAAGACAGGGACGGAAGTCCGACAACTAACATGAGTGATACCTTGTCGCAAGCATTCCGAAGAATTATCCCATTGACTTATAATGGGAAGATCGCAAAGATGACCATTACCTCATCGTTTTCGAAGCTTCGAGATATATGTACATTTTGAACAAATTGTTGGCCTTATATCAGTCGGTGAAAGTTTAAAAGCAATCAGCGACTCAGTGTAGCCATGACAGACATTGAAACTTTTTTAGGAGGTGAGGTCACCCCAAGTGACCTGGTGACCTGAGGTCAAAAATTTACTAAATTAAAATTTGTGCGGAAGCAATGCACACGCCGTTTTTTTAATATCCGAAAAACCGCAGGGGATGCTCAAACACTCCTGGCCCGGCGCGGATTGAGTCGACGACTGCGCTCAGCGCTGGCCCGACCGGCGACC